CCTGGGCAGATCACTTCTCCTGGGGACTCAGTTTCCTCCCCCTATAGTTTGGATTAGACGGCCTCCAGGGTCCCCTAGCTCTAAAATTTTGTGAACTCACGAGTAGACCTATGTTCTTGAGAAGGTCAAAGGGGACTAGGTGCTAGATCCTTGAGGGATCTCAAGCAAGTTGGGCAGCTGAGAGGCTCTAAGGCAGGGCTGCTTAAACTTTTTCCACTCAGGACCCCTTTTTGAGTTTAGACAGCACTTGTTGGAATTATGTGGCCTGAGGGCATGTGCAGTGCGGAGTTCACATGCTGTGCATTCAGAACCAAGCTTCAGTGAAGTTGTGGGATGCTAGAAACATCTCGGATTCATTATGTGTTTGACTTTGAATTCATTTTTGGTCGCTGCGCGTTCAGAAACCTTTTACTGTTGTCAAAATTTTCAGTCAGGACCCACAGTTTAAGAAGCACTGCCAGGTATCCAAGAGTAGAACTAACTAGACTGTGGCTTCTGGGAGGAATTTCACACAGCACCCAGGCCCAGGGCTTCAAGGACATCTGGCCTGGGGAAGGGGCCAAGGTTATAGACTTCCTGCTGCTGGGAAATGGTACATACACCCTGCTTGGCTGGGGGGGCGGGGAGAGGAGAGAGGAGAGAGAGGAGAGAGGGGAGAGAGAGAGAGAGAGAGAGAGAGAGAGAGAGAGAGAGAGAGAGAGAGAGAGAGAGAGAGAGGGAGAGAGAGAGAGAGAGAGAGAGAGAGAGAGAAAGGAGACAGAGACAGAGAAACAGAGACACAGAGAGAGACAGAGACAGAGAAACTTGAGTCTTGAACCCACAACCCCTTGTTTCCTCAGGATCCCTTGTGGTTTTAGACAGAGGATCTCACCCTGCATTGCTTTCCTTCGGAAATGTTCAATCAAAGGAAAGAGATCTGTCTACTCAGAAAAAATGCAGCCACTAGGGTATTAATAGCTACCCTCTGAGGCCACTGTTGATAAGAAAGGAATTCTGTCTTAACAGCCAGGAGTCTTGGAGGTGTCATTATAGTCCTAAATCTCCGGTCCCCAATGGAAGGCCTCTAGCAGCTCTGGAGGGGTAGAGGGAAAGGGCAAAGTCTGGAGGGATAATTCCCAGTTGGGAACAAACAAAGAACCCAGAAACCCTGCTCTGGCCTGCTAGATGAGTGATCTGCCCCAGTTTTTTGAGCTTCCAGGAACAGTGTTAAGTCCAATGGGTGGGGGCTTCCAGGAAACAGTGAACCCAGTTGCTGCTTGGGTGAGGCTCTAGCTTGCTCGCTGGCTCCCTGGGGCCTCGTGATGGCCCCCTAGGGGTGCAGGGCCAGAGGCCAACATTGCTGGGGGGCTCTGGCTCAATCTTTGGCTCTCCCATGGTTCCTAGGGCTGAGGGAGTCAAGTGACAGTAACATCTGCTCCTTCCTGGGAAAAACACAGCTGCTGTTTAGAGAAGGACCTAGCTGCCACTGCTCCCTTCTCCAACTTCATGGTGCCCTGCCCCCATCTCCTCATAAAAGGGATATAATTTTAGAATTAGAAGGAATCTTAAAACATAGAATGTCAGAGCTAGAAGGGACTTTAGAACCCAGAATGTCAGAGCTGGAAAAGGCCTTAGAACCCAGAATGTCAGAGTTAGGGGGAGACCTCAGAACTCAGAATGCCAGATCTGGGAAGGGCCTTAGAACACAGAATGTCAGAGTTAGGGGGAGCCCTTAGAACTCAGAATGTCAGATCTGGGAAGGGCCTTAGAACCCAGAATGTCAGAGTTAGGGGGAGCCTTTAGAACTCAGAATGTCAGATCTGGGAAGGGCCTTAGAACACAGAATGTCAGAGTTGGGAGGGAACTTAAAGATCATTCACTCTAAATTTTCATTTTGCAGATAAGGAAACTAAATTAGATAAGGTGAGTGACTTGTCTAAGGCCATAGCAGCAGATCTGCTAGTGAAGTGTCCAAATATTGTGCCCTATTATCAGGGCCTGCTGACCTCCAAGGTTCATTTTTCAGTCCTATCCAGTTGAACCTCATGCTGCAGGGTCCCCACCTTAGGCATTTAGTGACTCCACATGAGTGAACGGTGTGATATGGTATCTGGAAAAGCCAATTTGATTTTTTGCATTAAGAAAGGCACAGTGTCCAGGGCAAAGGAAATGATGGATGGTCCCACTGTACTTTGCCCTGGTCAGAACACAGCTGGAGTGCTGTGTTCAGTTCTGACCCAGTCTTTTAGGAAAAGACATTTATTTATAAGCTGGAGAACATCCCATTAGAATGGAAGCTCCTTGAGGGCAGGAACTATTTGTTTACTTAATTGGTGCTTAATAAATGCTTGTTGATTGATTGGTTGAGCATCCAGAAGAGAATGACCACGATGGTAAAAGGCCATGCCACAGGAGGATTACTTGTAGGGAACAGGAATGCTTAACTTGGAAAAGAGAAGATGGGGAAACATGACTAGTTGTCTTCAAGTATTTTTAGGAGTGGCATGTGAAAGATTAGGCTTCCTCTGCTTGACCCCAGAGGGTAGCCCTAGGAGCAATGGATGGGAGTTAGAGATTGGCAGATTTAGGCTTGGTATGAAAAAAAAAAAGCAAGACAATTAGAGCTATCTCAGAATGCAACAGGATATTTTAGCTCCCATGATCTTCCCATGGAGGCTGGGACATTATAGAAAGGATTCCTGTTCAGATGCAGGTTGGATTAGGTGACCTCTGAGATTCTAACCCTTCTAACCCTGAGATTCTGTGAATCTGGCTCCTGGCTCCTAGGTCAGGGCTCTTTCCACTGCATAACTCATTCTTTTAGAAGGAAACAACAGTGGCCTGAGTGTCTGGACACCCTGTCCCATGTACTGGAACTAGGACAAAATGAAAGCAAGAAGATGGGCACCTTTCCCATTCTGCCTCTTCCTGGTCTTTTGCACAACAGCTCATTGCATTCCCTGGCTTTAGCTCCCATGAATACTGTAAACATCTTACTGTGACCTCCACCAAAGCCCTATTCTAGGGGTCTTGTTTTGATGAATGGCCCATTGTGGTAAAGATGCCCCATTCCACTCTTTTCTTGCTGTTCTAGTATTTGCAATATAATACTGTGTGATTCAGACATAATACTTTGTGATTCAGGATTCCTCAGTATGTGATCTGTCTCTTATTGGTATGCGATCTCTCTTTTTTCTAGTGGCTGTTAAATGTGTAGAGTTCTGGCCTTAAAATCAAGAAGGCCTGAGTTCAAATCCTGCCTTATATCTCATGTCTTCACCCTGGGCAAGTCACTTAACTTCTATTTGCCTCAGTTTCCTCATTTGTAAAATGGGGTTAATAATAACCTCTATCTTTTTAAAAAAATTTTTAATATGAGGCAATTGGGGTTAAGTGACTTTCCCAGGGTCACACAGCTAGTATCAAGTGTCTGGTCTGAGACCGGATTTGAACTCAGGTCCTCCTGACTTCAGGGCCAGTGCTCCATCCATTGCACCGCTTAGCTGCCCCAATAATAACCTCTATCTTAAAAGGTTGTGAAAATAAAATGGTGATGTGAGACTGAAGCTCAGGAGACAGAACAGTTGGCTTTGTAGGTTTGGGAGTCATCTCCATAAAGATGAGATTGAACCTATGAGAGCTAATGAGATCATCAAGAAGACAGGCTGTGGAGAGAAAAGTGGGCCCAGGAAAGCACTTTGGGGATACCCAGCCAAGTGGAGTTTATTGTGTATCCTTCCTTCCGGAAGAGGAGCAGGACATGAGTGATGATCCAGCAAAAAAGATTGAGAAGAACAGGTCAGACAGGTGGGAAGACACCCAGAAGGAAAAGTGTCAGAAAAGCCAAAGAAGGAGGAAGTATGGAGTTTGGGGGTGGCAACAGTGTCAGAAGCTACAGAGCAGTCTAGGCTGAGCACTGAGAAGAGGCCAGCGGACTTGGCCATCAAGAGATTGTTTGGCAACCTCAAAGAAAGCCATGTCAGTCAAGTGGTGGGACTTAGAAGCCACATTGCAAGGGATTCGGAAGTGAGTGGGAGGTGAGAAAGTGAAGGCAGTGAATGTAAATTGCTGTTTTTTTCTGGAGTCTGGCTGGGGTATAAATGAGAGCTATAGGTTGATAGCCTGAGGGGAAGGCAGGACCAACTGAAAGTTGTTTTTTGTTTTAAGATTGGGGGAGAATTGGGCAGATTTGTAAGCAAGGGAGCTGGTAGCTACAAAGGATCTGAGATTTAGAACTGGACTTAGAATAGTTCTAAAGACTATTTAGACCAACCTCCTTAATTTTTACAGATGGGGAAACTGAGGCCCCCAGGGGTTAAATTATTGGTCAAAGGTCACTTAATGGCAGGGGTGGGATGTGAACCTAGGTCCTCCAATTCCAAAGCTAGTGCACTTTCCATTCTACCAGGTTAAAGATATGTGTATGAGAGAGACAGGGGCAGCTAGGTGGCGCCATAGTGCATAGAGTGCTGGACCTACAGTCAGAAAGACTCCTCTTCCTGAGATCAAGCCTGGCCTAGCTCTATGACCCTGGGCAAGTCACTAAACCCTGTTTGCTACAGTTTCCTCTTCTGTAAAATGAGCTGGAGAAGGACATGACAAATCACTCCAATATCTTTTCCAAGAAAACCTTGAATGGGGTCAGGAAGAGTTGGACATGACTGAAAAAAGTGATTTATTGATGAGTGAGACAGAGAGAGGACAGAGAGACAGACAAAGAAACAGACAAAGATAGAGAATGATCTAAGGGGGCAAGCTCCTGGAGGAGATAGGAGGAAATAATGATCAAGGCTTTAAGGCATGTCCCCTCGAGAGGCAGGAGGACCTGGGCTCAAATTCTGCCTCAGACATTGACCAACTGTGTGACCTTGCACAAACCATTTAACCTCTCTGGGACTCAGTTTCCTCCCCTGTTAAATGAGGAGATAGGCTTTGATCGCCCCTAAATAGCCCCACCCCCAGTTCTAAACCTATAATCTTATAAGTATTCTTATTAATGGGCAATGTATCTGTCATCCAAGAACCAGCTGAGCTCAGTGGATGGAGGTCCATCCATCACCAGAGGACTGGTCATTCACAGCCTTTCATGAAGACCATTTGCTAAGGCTCAGAGGTGTGGAGATTAGCAGCAGAAGTGCTCACAGTGAATGGAGAACAGATTCCGGGAGTATATGGAGCAGAATGAGGTAGAAAGAGCCCTGGATTGGGAAGATCTGGGTTTGACTCCCAGCTGTATGACCTTGGGTAAGTCTCTTGTCTTCTTTGGGTTTAAGAATCAGCCTCTTCTTCTCTTCCATCCCCTACTCCCACTTTTAACTTCTTGTTGGAGAAATCAAACCAAGATCGACATTACTTCTGGAAAGGGGGTGACAGTTGACTTCCCCATATCTCCATTTATAATCCCCATGGATACTGTCAGGGGTTTCCTAACCTGGAGGTCGTGAATGTGGCTGGGTTTTTTTTCCCCCTTCATATTTTGATGACCATTTCAATATAATTAGTTTTGTTTGTAATTTGATATATTTCATTTTATTCATTAAAAAAAGAAAAACATTTTGAGAAGGTGTCCACAGGCTTCATCAGGACTGACGGCCAAAGGAAGTCCAGGACATAAAGATTAAGAACCCCTGGCCGAGACCAAAGATGCCTTCCCAAGCCACCCCTGCCAAATATTCATTGTGTTCCCCTAACAGAATGTAAGCTCCATGAGGGCAGAGATTGCGTACCTTTTATGAGGGCCTAGACCCTAGCACAGTGCCTAGTGAATAGTAAATGCTTGCCTAGTGATTGACTGATATGAAAAATATTCAAATATGAAACTGCCCTCTGCTCAGAGTCTCACACCACATTCAGACTTTCTTCAGACCCTCAAATTCACAGTTTCTTCCAGGATTGGGGAAGTTATGAGAGAGATTGCTTAGCCAGCCTGGAGGTGCAGCAGTTTAGACTGGAAAAGTCAGTGTGTTAAGCTAGACAAAGCTGGCCTCTCTGGCTGGGCTGCCTATCTGGGATCTGCCTGCCTGTATGTACATGTTTTGCCTCCTAAGATTTCTGCCATTGTGATAAAGTAGGGCTAGTACTGTAAATAGCATCCTGAGGGTTTGCCATTTTACATGACTCACCACAGAAAAGGGGCATGAAGGTAGGATAAAAGGGTCTGGCTTCAGTTTTCAGGGTCCGTAGAGGACCTTGCTGCTTGTTTTTTTTGGGGGTGGGAATGAGTCAGGGGAAAGGAGTGGGGTGGGCTCATTGGGGAAGTCTGGGAGCCTTCCTCTAAGGGATCCCTGAGACAGTTTTGTCTCTTTGACCCAAAGCAGCACCTGGAACAATGGGTAGCCCCTCTTAGGGCCACACAAGGGTGTCCCCGAAGCAGCTGCTGAATCTATTCTCAGCCCTTCCTGGGGAGACACCTGAAAAGTCATCATCCCCTGACATAATGACCAAGATTACCCAGGTACACAAGAACAGCTTCAAGCCATCACCAGACCGGTTCCTCTCAAAATCACTAATAAATCAACTGTCAGTTGGTTGGGTCCTGAATAAACATCATTGTCCTCTTAGTACCCTGGGGAAGGAAAAAGAGGCACCAAAGTCCAGGGCCTGAAATCTGAGGAGCTCTCTTCTCTACAACTGGGTACTCTAGCTAGGAACCAGGGGTTAGTGGGGATGAAAGTACTTAGTAAACCTTAACGTGTAATAATAATAATAGCAATAAGACTTCAATAAATATTAAGTCCCTAATATTTGCCAGGCACTGTTCTAAATGCTGGGGATACAAAAAGAGGCAAAAGACTTCCTCAAGAAACTCACAAGCTAATGGGGAAGATAACAAGCAAACAAAAATGTACAAAAAAGCTGTGTAAAAGACAAGGAGGAAATAATTAACAGGGGGAAAGTACTAGAATTATGAGAGGCTAGGGAAGGCTGTCAGTAAAAAAAGGGATTTTAGTTGGGACTTAAAGGAAACCAGGAAGGTCACTGCTGGAACAGAGTAGGGAAAGCGTTGCAGGCATGGGGGACAGCCAGAGAGAAGGTCTGGAGTCAAGAGACATAGTATCTTGTCAGTCATTCAAACAATCAATCTAAGATCCTTTATAAAGTACCTACTATGTGCCAGGCACTGTGTTAATTTATACAGGGTGGCCCCAAAGTCTTAAAGCAGTTTTATGCTTTAATAGCTCAGTTATTTTATTTTAAGCTTAATAGAGTTAAATAAGATTTAATAGCTCCAAACTGCACTAAGACTTTTGGGACGGTCTGTATTATATAGTATTGCATATACATAATGCATGCTATAACATGTGATAAACATTTTATATCACACAATACCTATATGTACATCTCTATATAGAAGCATGGAGGTACAGGGGGAGAGGAAGTAGGTCTCAAAGTCTTAAGATCTGGGCTTAAGTCCTAATTCTGACATGCATTGGTTGTGGGAATTTGGACAAGTCATTTGAACTCTTAGCGCTTTAGGCATTTTTCTCACCTGTGAGTTCCCTCTATCCATGAAGGCACAAGTCTGAGTTCTTTTCCCTGTTCTATAGACATCTATTCATGCACACAGACACACACAGACATACAAATGCACACACATATATGCAGACACAAATACACATACAAACCACATGGAAGTTAGAGGACCATCCCTAGAGTCAGGAGGACCTAGGATCTAGCCTGTCTCTACACACATAACTGGACACAGCCACTGGGTGACACACTGGACTTAAGAATCAGGAAGCCCTAAATTCAAATGTTGACTCAAAGACACTTCCTAGCTATGTTACCCTAGGCAAGTTACTTCACCTGTGTCTGTCTCAGTTTCCTCATCTAAAAAGGGGGAGGGGATAATAATGAGATCCAGGCAGCTAGGTGGTGGTGGGCCTGGAGTCAGGAAGACCTGAGTTCAAATCCAGTCCCAGACATTTACTAGCTTGTGTGACCCTGGGCAAGTCACTTAACCCTGTTTGTCTCAGTTTCCTCATCTGTAAAATGAGCTGGAAAAAGAATGGCAAACCACTCCAGTATCTTTGCGGAGAAAACCCCAAATTGGATCACATGACTGAATAACTGAACAACAACAACAGTGAGATACTATTTGTAAACCTTGGAGCACTACATGAATACTAGTTGTTGTTGTTATAATATGGGTTGCATGACCCTGGCCAAGTCACTTAACTTTTCAGTGCTTCAGGCAACTATCTAAGACTATATATTACAGCTAAATTGCCAGTCTGGATCAATGGAGAGACTTTCCACATTCAGTTTCCCAGGTTGATGAAATCACAGGTCCAGACCCCCTACTCCAAATCTCTCTCTCAATAGTAATAATATAGAATTCATTCAACAGTACATATACATGCATATGTGTATATACGTACATGTATGCGTGTATATATACATTTGACAGACTGCAGATTAATTACAAGTTGCACTCACATTTAAACAAGAGGCAGAAAGTATGCTGGATTATCTTTGGGAAATTGGAAAGCTAGGTGGCCCAATGGATCAGATGATGGGTTGGAGTCAGGAAGACATGAGTTCAAATTCTGGTAATTGTTAGCTATGTGACACTCAGCAAATCACTTAACCTCTGTTAACCTCAGTTTCCTCAATTGTAAAATAAGGATAATAGCAGTATCTACCTTGTGAGGAGGGTCATTTTGAGGATCAAATGAGACAATATCTATAAAAAGCACTCAGCACAATACCTGGCACATAGTAGGAGCTGTATAAACGCTTAATTCCCTTCCCCTGTCCCCCTTTAGTGATCCCAAACTTCTCCCTGAAGCAAAGGTCCATCTTTTTAATACCAACATTCTACCTGTGGAATTGTATGCCTTTGAGTCATGGAACCCAACAGTGTCCAAAGCATTAAATATAAGTATTATTTAGAGAGCAATGGAAGGGTGTATAGTGGGTATGAGCAGAAGGTGACATAAAAATGGAAGAAGGATGTCATTAAAGAAATGTACAATTGAAAAAGAATGGGGCAGCTAGGTGGTGCAGTGGATGGAACTCGGGCCTTGGAATGAGGAGGACCTGAGTTCAAATCCTGCTTCAGACACTTGACACTTATTAGTTGTGTGACCCTGGGCAAGTCACTTAACCCTGATTGCCTCACCAGAAAGCAAAAAAAAAAAAAAAAGAAAGAAAGAAAAGAAAAGAAAAAGAAAGTGGACTAGTCCTGGGTTAAACGTGTGGGATAATCAAAGGAGAGTCTGTGTACCTCACTGGTCTCTTTGGCATGTCTAGATAAATCAGGCAAGATTCAGCACACTGGTTAGATCCTCTGTGGTGGACTTCTAGGAAGACACAGACAAGAGTCTCACAGGATGGATGACTATGGATGTGACTGGCATCATTAGAGGAAACATCCACAATGATGAGATGACAGGTCTGTTAGAGTATTTTCAGTATTCACAATGTAACCTGTGGTTCTGGGTCCCTCCAGACTCTGGGCTCACATGGACCAGGTTTGATTCTGGGGGGTGATACTAAGGGATCAGTTTCTCTTTGCTCACATTGCCTTCATCTGGAGTACTTAAAGAAAATCTCTAAATATCCTTACGATATAGTTTATGTTTCCCAAATAACAGGGGCCCCTCAGTGTATACTATGGATGTTTGGTGTGGGATAGCCTTTATTTTGCCTCCACAGAAAATGCATGAGATACACAGGACTCATAGGGATCGACGACAGAGGGAAGGATAGGGAAGGGAACATACATTTACTAAGTAGCTGCTATGTGCCAAGCACTGTGCTCTGAGTGCTTTACAAATATTATCTTATTTGATAGATAGAGAAATATATAAATATCCCATTAGAGTCTCTCCGTGATGTAAATACACTTTGGGAGGCTGTTGGACAAATCTCCTTCTCATGTACCACCACTGGCAGAGGAATTCAAAGCAATAGCTGGGTTACCAAGTCTAGAGTTCTGCCTTTTTTCCCATGACATGGCTTTAGTCCTTCAGCTACAAGTGCTATTGCATTACACTCTGTTAAGGAAATCTCCTTCTAGAAGGATCTGCCTATCCACTTGAACTTGGGAATGCTTCAGTTTTGGATTCTCTGAGAGGTAACTCCCAAAGCCAGGAAAATCCATAGTGAGGTGCCTTGCAAGCACGTATCTATATCCCTTCCATGTGCTTCTGCAGAAACTCGATTAATGCCCCAGCTTTTCTGGTAGGGAATTATCCATTCTTAGGAACCAAGGAAACAAAAAAGCAGAAGGTTCCAGCAGAGTGAGGACTGGGAATCTCAGGTCACCTGGTCAAGAACAGATGTGCTTCTCCTGCATCCATTAACTGCCATGGTAGAGCTGGGATTATAGAGAGCCAGTGTGGATACAAGGTACCCACCTCCTGACAGGTGATGGATTCAAGGTTCAGAATGAGACATACATTTTTGGACATAGATAATTAAAAAAAAAACTGTTCACAGGGACAGATTTCTTCTCTCCCCTTCATCAACAGTCCCTCATGCAGGTCCCTTCTATTGAGCTCATCTGGAACTTCAAGAGAAGGAAGGAGAAAAGTACTGCCAGCTGCCTTTTATAGACCACAAATGGGGCAGGGGAGGAAGAAAGGGGGATGCTTCTGACCAGAAGCCATCTCTGCTTAGCCTTAGTTTCCAATCATCTTTGAGCCAGCCCCAGACACTGGGGAAGAATTCCCTCTGTCTCTCAGCAACATACCATGTAAAGAGTCCTTTCATTGCCTTCAGACCCTCTTATCTCATCAAGCTGATTGGAGCTCAGCCTCCCTATCAACAATATGATCTGCAAAAGACTTTACAGGCATAATTGTACATGAATCTCATACAAGTCCGTTAGCCTCCCGGTGCCTCAGTTTCTTTATCTGTAAAATGAGTGGGTAGGACTGAATGACCTCTACAATCTCTTCTAGGAATCATGGAGGGACAGGACATCTTTGAAAGTTATATGATGCAGGCAACTAGGTAGCGCAGTGGATAGAGCATCAGCCCTGGAGTCAGGAGGACCTGAGTTCAAATCTGACCTCAGTCACATAATACTTAATTGCTGTGTGACCCTGGGCAAGTCACTTAACCTCATTGTCTAATCAAAAAAAAAAAAGTTATATGATGGATTTATCATATACTTAAAAAGAAAAGTAAGCCCTAGAAAATAGATTCAGTTGCGTGATAATGTCCTCCTCTCCTACAGTGTATATGGAATTGCTCATTTTAATTGGTGTTTGTTAGGGTCAGAATTAACAATTTTAAAAATACATATTTCCTATTCATCCTGTATATAACTTGCTTTGCATATATTTGGATATTGTCTTCCCATTAGATTGTAAGCTCTTAGATGGCAGAAATGGTCTTTTGCCTCTTTTTTATATCCTCAGAGCTTAGCATAGTGGCCAATACATAGTAGGTTCTTAATACATATTTATTGATTAAAAAAATAAAATAAAATACAGTCCCTTCTAGCTCTAAATCCTAGAATCCTGGGTTGACTGAGTGTTCATTCCAAAGCCAGGAACACAGCCGTCTCCTGTATTAATGACACATGCCACTAGGGGTCAGTGTTGCTTCATGCTAGTGCCTACCATAAGCATTACAATGGACAGGCTAACCGCCCACTAACCAAAGGCTGAGCCCTCTGCTGGACACCACCAGAGTGCATTAATTTACCTGTTCATACTTTTCTGGCTAAGAGGGGCTACAGGTTTCCTTAAATCCAGCTCAATTCCATGTAATTCAACAGATAGTTAAAAAAAAACAACCTACCATGGACAGCAACGGACTAGGCATTGGGGACTTGTCACTCAAATGCCCTTAAGGAGCTTAACTATCTAACAAGTGGGGATAAGGCAGATCCAGAAATAACTTTAATAGGATGATAATATATAAAGTAACAATGCCCAGGAGAGGCCCAGACAAAGCTATGAGAACTTTGAGGAGGGAAAGATCACTTTTACCATAGTGGTAGATTTATAGCTAGAATGTAGTTTAGAAGTTATCTAGTGCAACCCTGCCTCACTCCATTTTAAAGATGAGGAAATTGAGGCCCCAGGAGGTCAGGTGACTTGCCCAGAATCTCACAGATAGTAAATGGCAAAGGTGGGACTCAAACCCAGGTCCTATAATTACAAATCCAGCACACTTTGGTTGTACCTCTTAGATACAAATAGCATATGGTCTTATCTATTAAAGTTGGCTGTACTTCCTGTATCTCCATTCTAGACTGAACTCTATCAGGGAAGAGACCACGTCTCATGGTAATAATAGATTGGGTTTCTTTCCTGTGGTTTTTCCCTTTTGTTCTGATTCTTCCTTCACAACATGATTAAAGCAGAAATATGTCTAAAAAATAATACATCAGATTTCCATAGTGTTTATTTATTTTTTGGGTTGGGCAATGGGGGTTAAGTGACTTGCCCAGGGTCACACAGCCACAGTGTTTAAAGTTTACAAAGCACTTTCCTCACAACCAGCCTATGAAGTAGATGCTATTATTATACTTATTTGACAAATGAGAGAACCAAGGCACAGAAGGGGGATGGTACTTGTTTAAGTTGTTGTTGTTTCAGTCCTGTCTGACTTTTCATGACCCCATTTGGGTTTTCTTGGCAGAGATACTGGAGTGTTGGCCATTTCTTTCTCCAGCTTGTTCTGCAGATGAAGAAACTAAGGCAAACATGGTGAAGTGACTTGCCCAGGGTCACCCAGCCAGTATAAGTGTGTGAGGTCAGATTTGAATTTAGGAAAAGGAGTCTTTCTGACTACAGGCTGGGCACTCTATCCACTGTACCACCCAGCTGCCCTACAAATACATATAGTCAACCAAAATAAATGTCCACATTGACCATGTCCTAAAAAAATCATCTCACTCTGCACTCTGAGCCTTTCCTCTCTTTATCAGGAGGTAGGTAGCACATAGACCTCTGGAATTATGGTCGGGTCATTAACACTGAGCAGAGTTCCTAATTCTTTCAAAGTTATCTGTCTCTAACAAACATATTGTTGTGACATTGTATAAATAATTCTCCTAGTTCTATTCACTTCACTTTGCATCAGTTCCTACAAGTCTTCCCAGGTTTTCTGAAATCCTCTCCTTCCTCATTTCTTAGAGCACAATAGTATTCTATCACATTCCGATACCATAACTTGTTCAGCCATTCCCCAGTTTGTGGACACTCCCTCAGATTGCTATGCTTTGCCACCTCAAAAAGAGCTATAAATATTTTGGTACATCCTTAGAATTATTTTGCTTAGGGTTAATCCCTCCTTTAATCTGCCTTCCTCTAATTCCATCTCCCCCTTCTTCCCTTTTCCTGTTGAGTGGTGTGTTTTTGTACCCAGCTCATGTTCTCTCTCTCTCTCTCTCTCTCTCTCTCTCTCTCTTTCTCCCGTTTGACCAGGTCAGGTGAGAGTAAGGTTAACATATCAGCTGCCCCCCTCCCCCCCACCCCGCTTGTCTCAGATGGCTACTTGCACACCTGATTGTGTGAGATGATGTACCCTAACTTTCATTTCTCTCCCCAATCCCCCCATATATTCCTCTTCCCCTCTCTTTCTATTCTTCTCTTATGACCATCAAAACATAACAGAACAACTCTCAGGCCTTGCCTGCTTAGACTCCCTCTTTGACGACAGATGATAATAGAAGAGGATTCAGAGGGGACACATGTATCATTTCCCCATATTTGAATGCATAGTTTATCTTTATTTAGTCCTTAGTTTGTTCATTCATGTTTACCATTTTCAAAGTCCTAGTCCCAACTCCAGTGTCAAGTCAACAAGCATTTATTAAGCACCTACTACATGCCAGGCACCGTGCTCAGTACTGAGGATACAAAGAAAGGCAAAAGACAGTCCTTAAGGAGCTCACATTCTAATGGAGAAGACAATATGCAAACTACATTAGATATAAGAAACACGAAGGATAAATTGGAGATCATTTCTGAAGGAAGGTGCTAGCATTAAGGGAGATCATGAGATATGTGAGAATATCAGTGGGCTGCCTTGGTATCATCTCCTTCTTGCTCCTACCTCCTACTCCATTGAATATCACTTCCCTTTAAACAACATGGCCTTCTCATAGGCACTTTCCCATAAATATTCCAAAAAAAAAGGGCCCATTGCTTTCAACATTGACTGCCTCATCTAATTCTTCTATGAAACCCTGTTAGTCCCAGGAAACTGATTCTTCAAAGCCTGCAGTTTTTATCATGTCAAATATTTAAATGGATCTGTGTTCTTACCTAGTTGTCCCTTCCAGTGATGCAGAAGACAACTCATCCTTATGGTATCAGTTTGTCCCAGAGGATCTACCCAACATTCTAGAGTTCTTTCCCACTTTTTCCTGACACCACTAGGATAGCAATGGAGCACTCCGTGGTTCACTTGTCACCCCTCACTCTTGCCATGTGATGAGCCCATTGGGCTTTCCTTTCCTGTATTTCCTTGATGATTTCTCTTACTTTTATGCTTTTTTGAAATTTCCTTGTCAGTTATATGTTGCAGCCTGTTCATATCCAGGATTGCATCTCTTCGTTGCCCTGTGTGTCACTGATATCCATTTTCAATACTTTGGAGACAGCTGTGTTACATGTCTTACAGACATGCCATAATGCTGATAGAATATTGCTATTAAAAAGACAGGTCTTTGCTTTTGGTGGATGCTTGGGGTCATTAATGAAGCTTTGCAATTTCCTGAGGGCAGCCAAGACCATTCTCTTGTTTAATTCTGAGTTCAACCCTTTGTCCATCTATCCTGGAAATACATCAAGCCTTAGATACCAAGGCTGGGCCAACAAAGCCTCGAGTATGGGGCCTCTCCTTGCTCTCAAACCTAGTATGTGGTTTGGGGAACCTGGCTTCTGGTGGGAAGAGGTTCCCTTTTCTCATATTCATTGCCTCTTAAATCTCCCTCCTTCCTCCCAGCATCCTGGTATGATTTAATTATAGTAATTTAGATTGTGGCTTACAAGTCTAGGATTTCCCCAAAAGGGAGAAAGTAAAAAAAAATAGTACTCAACATATAATATGAATGAGGTATAAGATATGCAATATGTTCCTACCCACACACAAAAAGGTTCAACATTAAAAAAAAAATCTCATAAGCATGCATTAACAGAATAGGATTCAATAACCCAATTTGTAAAACCATCCGTACAGTATGTTGGGAAGATCACCCTTATGTTTTATCAGACCATAAAGCAGTCTGTGAGACTGCTGAATAGACATTTTACATTTTTCCTCAGGTTCACTTCAAACAGAATCTTCCCTGAACTTTGCTCAGCTAATTCCATGGTCAACTGCTCCTGCACCTGTCACAACCCACCACTACGGCTCCAAGCCAGCTCCAATCCCAACTCAAGGACTCTGGACCTTTCATACTGGCCAGGAAGCTGAGGAACCTGGACGGATCCATCTTGGGGTACTCATTCACCTAAGATCAGGAAAAAAACAAACAGCAAAAGGGTAAAGGCCCCATGCAAGCTTACCTAGTTAAGTCCACACTCCAGGTAGGGACTGGAGGCTGGGTTGTCATCATACAAGAGTAGAAAAAGATATGATCTTTCCCACCTTGAACTGGAGTCACATGTCCCACTTGGAGAGCTGAAGCTGACAGGACCTCAGTCAGAAGCTGACTCCTCTTTTTTCTTTTTTAGTTTTATTGATTTTTTTTTTTACTTTACATTTAGGTTACTTTGAGAAGTTTCTCATAACAAAGTAAAACAGGTCTACAAAACTAATAATACAAATTATTTCAGACCTTATCTGAAAGGTCACATAACATTTTACAATGGTAGCACTGACACACACACACACACACACACACACACACACACACACGCCTATTTTTAAAATTTTATTTTAAACATTTGAAAATTTTTTAAATTCCAAATTCTCCCTTCCTCCTACCCTTCTTTTCCCCACTGAGAAGGCAAACAACATGATATCAATTATACATGTGAAGTCATGCAAAATACATTTCCATATTAGCCATGTTTTTTTTTAAAAGGCAAGAAAAATAAAGTGAAAAAACATACTTCAATCTGCACTCAGATTCCATCATTTCTCTCTATGAAGGCAGACAGCATTTTTCATCATGGGTTCTTTGAAATTATCTTGGATCATTGTGTTGGTCAGAGTAGCTAAATCTTTCACAGTTGATTGTCAGATCATTATTACAATATTGCTATTATTGTGTACAACATCCTCCTGGTTCTGCTCACTTGACTTTGCATTAGTTCCCACGTTTTTCTAAAGCCATCCTGCTCATCATTTCTTATAGCGCAGTAGTATTCCATCATAATCATATACCACAACATGTTCAGCCATTTCTCAATTGATGGGCATCCCCTTAATTTCCAATTCTTTGCTACCACAAAAAGAGCTGTTGTGAATTTTTTTGTACATATAGGTCCTTTTCCCTTTTCTTTGAAGGATACAGACCTAGCAACAAGCAATATCGCTCTGTCAAAGGGTATGAACGGTTTTATAGCCCTTTGGGCATAGTTCAAAATTGTTTTCCAGAATGGCTAGATCAGTTCACAACTCCACCAACTGCATATTAGTGTCCACATCCTCTCCAACATTTAACATTTTCCTTTCACTACGTTACCCAATTTAGTAGATGGGAGATGATGCCTCAGAGTTGTTTTAATTTGCCTATCTCTAATCAGTAATGATTTAGGATATTTTTTCATAGGATTATTGACAGCTTTTATTTCTTCTTCTGAAAAAATGCCTATACATATACATATATGGATATATATACACATACATATATCTTAATAAAGTAGGGAAAAATGTTCTGTATACCCTTCAGTATTTCTTTATCTTCTGTGCATTTTGGAAAAATGCTTTATTCATGAGTTTGGAGGAAGGGAATATATCCCTACCCATTAACTTTACCAGTTGGTGGTATAGTGGATAGAGCACTGGGCCTGGAGTCAAGAAACTTGGGAGTTCAAATCCAGCCTCAGATGCTTACTAGCTGAGCAGTTAAACAACAATCCTTTCCTAAAACCACTGGCACCAGGGTACAAAGCAAGAAGACCTCGGTGGAGGGCTTGCATTGGCAGGCAGAGCACAGCCGGGTCTGGAGCTGGTTAGATATAGGGGGCTATTAGATATAGAGGGCTAGGCAAGTCTGCATTTGTTCAGGAAGATTCAGCCCCAAAGTGGGTGGCCATTCCAAAGAAGAGTGGGGTAACTTCCTCAGGGACTATGGGCATGTATTCTACAGGGAGCTGGTCCATGTGGGGAGAAGTAGGGCGGCAGTAGTGGTGGGGCAGATGACATGACAAGAAGAAGGTGGGAACCAGTGAGGGAGAGATAACTCAGAAAGTGCTGATCTGGAAAAAGGAAGGAAAGGGGGACAAGGGATCATAGACTACCCATAGGCCTCTTGCTGTTACATAACAAATACTTTTTTCAAGAATTTCTAGGAATTGGTAATGGCAACTACTGAATAACCACCAAAAATTTTTTAAAAATGAAACTGATTCTACTTTGATGGACAGAAAAAAAACTATTGATATGCAAGTCATCCTAAAGCAGTTGTCAGACTACTGACTTGTTAGAGCAAAGATCAGAATGAGTAACCAGTTGGACTAATAATGAGAAAAATGAAATTGAAACAACTCAATCCTGAAGTATTTAAATGTGTGATTGATGGGTTGAGGGAAATGGGTAATGGATAGCAGGAATGACAGATTATAATAATTTCATACAGAGGTTTAATAGATGTAAATCAAATGGCATAAAAAAGAGCGAGAGCCTTAAAAACTCCTTAATTAGCAAATCCTTGACTTTCTTGTCAAGCACAGAGAGATGGTGACCAAAGGCAGCACTGATTAAAATATAAATTCTTTTGTAAAACCTTACAGAGGAGATGGATGATTACTGGTAAATGTTTAACAGCTGGCTAGGCATTGGAGGTGGGGCCGTACCCAGAGGCTGCCATACTTTTAAGTTTAATATACACTAGTAAGGTTTTCTTCATCATTTTCTTAAGTCCAGACAATCCACAAAACAATAAATCAAGCCCAGATTGTTTTGTTTAGCAATTTACTGATTTTCCAACTGTAAATGCTCATGCTAAAAATTAAACTATTGGCTCTCCAGTTTAAACGGGCACCAGTATACTCTTGAATTGTTTATGAGCAGTATTGCCCCGTGAGTCAGAGAGAAACTGTGGAAAGTAAAATCAAAGAAGTTTAAAGAAAGCTCAGCAACAGATCCAACTATAATTGGTCATCTCAGGGACATTTAAAACTGGAAGGAAGACAACATTCAGGAGAAAATGGAAAAGATCTGCAAGTATTTTTATTGTTCAGTTATTTCATTCATTTCCGACTCTTTGTGACCCCATTTGGGGTTTTCTTGGAAAAGATACTGAAGTGCTTTGCCATTTCTTTCTCCAGCTCATTTTACAGATGAGGAAACTGAGACAGAGTGAAGTGACTTGCTCAGGATCACACAGCTAGTAAGTGTCTTAGGCCAGATTTGAACTCATGAAGATGAATCTTCTTGATTTCAGGCCCAGTGCTCTATCTACTTCACCTAGCTACTCTAGTTTTCATATATAACAACCACCAAAGTGCTGATAACACTCTGAGGATGGCTCAAAAGTATTTCTTGGATGATTGTCTGACTTCATCTATGAATAAAAAGAAGCTCTGGCTCTCAGGACAGTGACTTTTTTTTTTACATTTAATTTTTTTTCAATTACGTATAAACAAAATTTTTTAACATTTTTAAAATTTGAGTTCCAAATTCTTCTTCCCTCCCTTCCTTGAGAAAACAATTTGATACACATTATACATGTGCAGTCATGCAAAACATTTCCATATTAGCCATGCTGCCAAAGAAAATGAAGACCAAAAAAACCCAAAACCCAACAAGAATAATAAAGAAAGTTAAAAAAGTATGCTTCGATCTGCATTCAGATTTCATCAATTTTTTCTCTGGAGGTGGACAGCATTTTTCATCATAAGTCTTTCAGAATAAGACAGTAACTTGTACAGAAAGGGATCTTGAGGGCTAAATGTTGCTTAGAGAAATTTAATCCATCTCCCTCGGGTAGATGTCAATCAATCAATCAACATTTATTAAAAGTTTGCAAGATGCCAGGCATTGTGCTAAACTCTGGACTCTACAAATAAAGAGCAATACTTGGGGGAAGGCAAAATATGAGCCAGCGTATCTATACAAGATGAAGAGAGAAGACATGCTAAACATACAAGGGCAGATGCGAAATGCCCCCCATAACCTTTGACTGACTACCTTTTGGGGTCTGTGAGAAGCCAAGATAATGGCTTTGGACTTTACTATTATTGGTCTCTAGAGGGCTGAAGGATTGCCTTCTTACACTTTCCTCTCCCCTACTTAGTCTTTGATCCAGTGACACAGCCTCTTTGCTGTTCCTCCTACAAGATGCCCCATCTCCTGACCACACTTTCCCTGTTTTCCCCATGCCTGGAATTTTCTCCCTCCTCATCTTCACCTTTCTTCCCTGGCTTCCTTCAAGTCTCAGCTAAAATTCTACCTTCTGCAGAAGTCTTTCTTAGTCCCCCTAACCCAGGTAGGGCCTTCCCTCTGAAAACACCTCCAACTTCACCCTGTCTGTATTGTTTTCACATAACATAGCTAGCTTTTGTATAGCAATTTAAACTTTGCAAAGCATTTCACAAATATCATGTCGCTGTTTGGTCATTTCCTCCTTAGACTATAAACTCCTTGAGGACAAGGATCGATTTTGCCTTTCTTTGTTATTTTCAGAGGTTAGCACAGTGCCTAGCACACAGTAAGAGCTTAAAAAATGCTTGTTGACTTGACACTGTGGCAGTCTGTTAGTTCCTGGGTAATGAATGACTTACTGTTGGTCCTTGGTTAATGTATTGACTATTGGTTCCTATGCAGCTGAAGCTTTTACCAGCTGGTTAATAGAATGGCTATTGGTTCTACTGATTTCTGATTGATAGAATGGTCGTTGGCTATGTCTGCTGGCTCTTGACTTATGAGTGAGTGTTGGAATGACTGTCAAGAATCAGCTAAAATCCCTTCTCCAAGAAACCTTTCCTGATCCCTCTTCAAGCTGGTGCCTCCTCTCAACTCCAAAATCTACAATTATCCTGTCTATATCACGTTAGCAACATAGATGTTTGCACTTTGTCCTTCACTTGGATGGTGAGCTCCTTGACAGCAGACTTCCTTTGTATTCCCACCACCTAGCACAGTGCCTGGCACACAGTAGGTCCAAGTAATTCTCGGAGGTGGAGCACGGTGCCTGGCACGTAGTAAGCGTTTAGCAAACGTTAGCTGAGTGACTGATGCACGCTCCAGACCCACGCCAGGTGCGCAAAGCGGTGCCTGCACTCCCCGGACGCGCCCACGAGACAAGCCGCTCGGGCAAGGAGGGAAGCCCGGGCCGGGCTAGCCCAGACGCCCCGCTGCAATGCCGAGGGTCCCTCCGGGCCCCCAAAGCCGGGAGAACAATGAGGTCCCTGCTTCTTTAAGGGAGATACCAACGCACAGCCGGGGGGAGGGGCAGGGGTCAGGAGAACGGATTTTCCCAGACGGAACGCACCGTACTCCCAGACCCGGGCCTCCCGCCGGTGCCTCCGGCAGCGAGCTCGGGTGAGCAAGGCCCAGTGACAAAGGGCGCTCTCCTCCCAGCGGGGCGGATGCCGGTTCTTCCAGGCCGGGGCCGCGCCTTTCCCCGGGGCCCCCTTCTTCCAAGCCCCGCAGGCGCCCGCACCCCGCCGAAGAGGAAAATGCAAAAGGCATCTGACTGGGGCGAACGCTGCAAAAAAGCCAGCCGCACGGTAGGTGCCCGGACGGGGACGGGCCAGACGGCGCTGCCCTTGGCTCTGCGAGCGGGACGAGGCTGGGTCCGGCCGTCCTCCCGGGGCGATCCGCCGGCTCCGGAGGCCGGTGGGAAATAGCCTCCGAGCAGAGGAGGCGATGAAGCCCCGCGGGTGGCCTCCCTCTCCTCCGCTCCGGCCCAGGCCCAGCCACCCCTGTGGGGAAAGGCTCGAGTGGTGCGTTCCTCAGCGCGTGCACAGCAACGGTCTCCGGCTTGCGAGGCCCAGCTGGAAGCCGGAGCCTCGCGCCGGCGGAGTGCGACTGCCGCGAGGGCTCTTTGAATCCAAGAGGAAGCAGGGAGGCGGGGATAGGGCGCCGGGCGCGCGCCTGCCCAATAAGGGAAGCCGCTAGGAGGGCGCTCGCCCAATGAGGGCAGGCGCTCGTGCGGCCAAAGCGGGAGGGTGGGGGGAGGAGAGGTTGGGTCCTCGAGCTGGGAAAGGGGGTGTGTCCGCACGCGGGGGCGCGCGCCGGCCTCGGACTGGCTGTGGCGGCGGCGCGAGGAACCCGATAATGGCGGCCTGCAGAGCCCGGGAGAAGGAGAGGCGGCGGCGGCGACCCTGAGGTAAGGCAGCCGTCCGGACCGGGGAGGGAGCCCTTGCCTTCCGCCTCCTGGGTCCGCCCACCTGGGCTGCCGTGGGCGCCCCGGGGCCTGGGCCAGTGCCCGGCCCCCCTCAGGCGGCCCGTTGCCCTGTTCCCGGCCCGCCTGAGGGGAGCGAGGGCCCTGGCTCTTCCCTGCCCCACACCTGACCTGACAGCCCGGCGGCCTCGGGCCAGGGAGCGCAGTGCAGCTCCTCACCCCTCCCCCGCCGAAGCAGCCCCGGGTCCGAGAGGCCCGCGTGACCTTGGGCCTCAGTTTCCCGCGCTGTTAAAGAAGTGGGGCGGCGGTCGCACTCGGGAGTCGGTCAGGCCCCTCCCCAACTGCTAACCCAGCTCTGCGTTCTGAGGGTGCTCCCTGCACTGACATTCTGGGTTCGGAGGCCCAGCTGACTCCGGCGTTCAGTGCTCCGCGGTCTCTCCCCCAGCCCCGACATTCCACGCTGTCTCGCCTCCGCCCCACTCCCGGGGACGCTTCGGGACCCCCGAGTTTGCCCTCCTGTCACTGGAGTTGCACGGAGGGGGAGGGGAGGGAAGGACCGGGCGCGTTGGCCAATGAGCGGGGCCCGGAGTCGGCGGAGTACGGAAACGGCGTCCTCACCCGGGCAGGTGCCTGCCTGCCTGTCCGCCTGCCCGGCGAGGCGCTGGCCAGCGTCCACCGTGCGGAGCCCCGCGAATCCGGCCCTGGCGTGGCGACGGCCCATGCGATGACCCGCCGGGGTCTGGACAGAGTCCCGGGACGTGCGCCTCCTCCTCGGGCAAGTTAGGGCGCCTGTGCCTGCGTGCGTGCGTGCACCCCGTGCGCCCCTTCTCGCTCCCCCTCCCGGGTGGTCGTGAAGATCGTAGAGATACTAGGCGTAAAGCTATGGATCTTCTGTTAAAGGCCACTTGATGTCCCCCCCTGCTGTTAGCCCGAGGCTTTTCCTCGGCTGGGGATCCCCAGTTTACCCTGTCTGTAGCTTGTTTGCACAGTGTTTCGTGTCGTCTTTCCCCAATAGACTGTGAACTCCTAGAGAGCAGGTGCTGTCGTTTTGCCTTTTCTTTGTATCCTGAATGCTTATCTGACTTGATTATGATTAGATAATGGAACTTCTTAGTTAATTGACACGGATGTTTTAAGTTGTGGTTGATAAGTAGGAGCTTAATAAATGCTTTGACAAGTAACTGAATGCATTTTATAGCCACTGCATTTTCTATTTTACTTCATTAAGTGAGGATTAATAATAAACTTATATTTACATAGCACACTATAGTTCATTTGTTAGCACATGGCGGGTGCTTAACAAATGCTTGTCTTGAATTGGCTTATGATCAGGTAAAGGAATTTCAGAGTTAATCACCGTTTTAGGTTGTGGTTATAGCACATAGTAGGTGCTTAATAAACGTTTTTGAGGACTGACTGAAAGCATTTTATAACCACTGTTTTTTCTATTTTATCCCATGAAGTGAGGATTAATAATAAAGATGTTTACATAGAACTTTACAGTTAACTGTGTTCTTTAGCACTGATTAAGAGATTCTATATAATTCAGTGTTTGGGTATTCTATAACTACTTATTGCAAAAATGTCAACACTCCTCAATTTATGCTAAATACAAACAGCTACCTTTTGTAGAAGTAAAGGGATTGTGCACTCACTAATAACAATATGATGTAGTGGAAATAGCCCTAGAAGATCTCAAGTTCAAATTCTGGTGGCTTCATTTGTACCATCCTGTCATCGTGAAGAAGTTACTTTGACTTTTTGGAATGTCATTTTCCTCATCTTTAAAATGAGGGTTTGGACTAAGATCTTTTACAACCCTAAACCCTGTGACCTTGGTTAGTCATGTAAACGTGATTAGATTCTTTCCAGTTCTAAATCTGTGTCGAAAAGAAGAAACTGAAGATCAGAGAGGGGAAGGGACTTGCCGGGTGGTTTGTGGCCCAGCAGGAATTGCAACCCAGCCCTTCTGAAGCCAAAGCCCGAGTTCTTTTCTTGACTCTGGGTAATAGGTTAACATTTGACATGGCAATAACAACAAACAAAGGGTTTGGGATTGCTTGTTGACTGTTTAACATCTTCAAAGGAATAGAGAAGCAAGTCCCAAGTGGATTTATAGGTAATCCAGAAGAGGAGTAGAAACTGCGTAGTGTGAGAAGAAATTCCTGTATCAGGTTACTTTAGCACTAAACTAGAAAGGAAAAATAGGAATTTGAAGGGCTTGTGGAAGATCAGATTGTATGGGAAGAGTTAAATTCTGGGACTTGAGCTCTGTTCTCAATAATCTCCTACTTCTTCCTTGATGTTTTCTACATTCATGTTGTCTGCTACCTACTTTCCAAACCACATCCAGGGACTGTTTATTGCTGTCATAGGATTGTCATAGGATCATAGAGTTAGAAAGGGTATTTTAGAGGCCATTAATGTTTAAACCTCTCATTTTACAATGAGGAAACTGAGGCACAGAGACATTAAATGACTTGCTTAGGGTCACATAGCTCTTAAATATATGAGATAGGATAAATACCCAGGTCCAGTGCCCTTTCTCCCATGACATGCTGCCTCAGGTGAAGTATCTACAGGCTAAGCAGAGAAAGTACAAATCCATATTACTTATCTGCTTAGCGTCTGTCCTTAAAGTTTGTTGGAAACTTCTGCAATTCATTTTTTAGTAGTGTTTTCGTTATTTCATCACTCAAGAATCTCAATGGAGTGTTCCTGCCTTTGCCTTCAAATGATTGGTCAAGTAGAATTCCAAAGACTTATTACAGGCTTTCTTATTTCAAATTAATGCTATGTTGCCAAAAATGCCCTAAAATAAATATTTATCTTTCAATAGAAAAAGATGGGGAGATGTATTGTTTTTCATGATCCCCAGCTTTCAGTTTAAAGGGGAATAGTTCTCACTCCTCTCTCAAAACAAGATTTTCACTTTTTTAAGGGCAGGAATCACACAAAAAATATCAGAAAAACTGGAAATCAAATTGACTTCTCCACAGCTACTGTCTTTGTTCCTGGACAATGAAAACAATCGAGTTTCAATGCCATGAATAGTCAGTTTCACTTTCAGACCCTGAAGCAAAAGTTAATTGTGCTTCTAACACTTCAGGCTTGGGAGGGGGAGGGGGAGGGAAGCTGGGGAGTAAATTACAGCTTCCTGAGTAATAGATGGTATAGTAGAAAGAGCAGTGGACCAGAGTCTCAACTTCACCAGTTATTATTGTGTGGCCTAGGACAAGTCATTTTCTACCTCTGACCCAAAGTTTCTTCATCTGTAAAAAAGGGGATAATGATACAAGGTTGTTATAAGGAGCAAATGGAAATTATTCAAAGTGCTTTTCATTATGAAAATGCAACATATTATTTTTCTTTAGTAGTCTTGAGGAATGGCTGTTTCTTTTGGCAATCAGTAATTAAGTTTCAACTCATTACTCTTACTGTTAATATCATTTTGCTATTACAAATCAGGACATTCAGATTTATAGAAAGAGCAATGAATTTGGAGTCTGGAGCCTGGGGTTTGAGTATACCAACACTAGTTCTGTGACATCAGACAAACCACTTACCCCTCTCTGGGCCTCAGTTTCTCCATCTATAAAATGGTGATATAAAATACCTCAGAGAAGGTTGGCAAGAATAAAATATGTAGATGATATATGAAGTGCTTTATAAATGTTTAAAATGCTATATAAATGTCCACTAGCCTTAACTCCTACATGTAGGAGTTATTGATATTTTCGGGCACAGTAGTATGGTTATATGCTATAATTAAATAATGAAAAGAAAAGCTGACCTGAAAATATTGTTGAGTTGATGAGAGCCCTCTGTTGTTTTTTCCAGAAACCTTGACATTGAAGATGGTGAGTAGCCAGCCAAAGTACGATCTAATACGGGAGGTTGGCCGAGGCAGTTATGGTGTGGTGTATGAAGCAGTCATCAGAAAGACTTCTGCTCGTGTCGCTGTGAAGAAGATTCGATGCCATGCCCCTGAGAATGTTGAGCTAGCTCTTCGTGAATTCTGGGCCCTTAGTAGTATCAAGAGCCAGCATCCCAATGTGATTCACTTGGAGGAATGCATTTTACAAAAAGATGGCATGGTGCAGAAGATGTCTCATGGCTCCAACTCATCTCTTTATTTACAGGTAGGTATGAAGGTCTCCACTCAAACTATATTCCAAGGCCATATCCCGGCCTTGAGCTGAGATTGGAACAGAACTGAGCTGTGTTCTCAAAGACTCTGCCATCCAAGCCCTGAAGACTTTGAGGACTTTGAGGATGAGCTCCTCCATCGTCTGTGGGGTCTGTTGTCCAAGGCCAGCCCTGCTAATTGCAGAGAGGCTTATCACTGTCCCTGGTGTGATGAATCTCATTTCTTAAAGACAGTACTGAAGCATAGAGGGTTTTGATAAGCAGTACTGGAGGGGATACACCTCCTCCCCCAAGAAAATCACAAATCCTATAGTTGAAAAGGTGAACGAGAATGAGGGGAATAAAAGGCTAAGAGGAATGTCTCCATTTAAATACAGGTGTCTTTATAGTTTGGAATAGGCAAGTAGGGATGTGCCAAGAATTCATTAGCTGTTTAAAAACACTGTTCTATTTAAACCTGTGATGCAGACACCTAAGAATAACTTAGCCACCTGCTGTCCCATAGTACTTGCCAACCTGTACCAGATAAGAGCTAACTGAGTGCTCAGCAGGTCCACTCTTTGGGAAGCTGCATTGGTGAGTTGGGAGTAGCTGAAAAGGGAAAGGCTCCAGCAAGCAGTAGCCCCAGCTCTAGGAAATTGGGCACTCTTGATTTGTGTCACTAATTTAAACATAAACCTTATCATTTCAGAGAGTTAATGGAATCCTAAGTTTAATGAATTCTGTACAGCCTTAAGCCAGAATTTTCTCTTTAATAGTGGGAAGGGTCATATGAACACACAATCAAAGAGCAGAAAAAGATTTATAAGCTGATATATGTCAGAGGTCAAAACCTCACTGCAGCTTGTCACTTGCCAAATAGCTGCAAGAATTAATGGAGGCACTGATAGTTAAGACTCAAAGAATGCTCTCCTGAGGCTAAGGGTCCTGGGGAGGGGAAAGTGATTTCTTTTGTAAACTGAGTGCTTAGGATTTTGTCAGTAAATGCCGAATTTACTGCCTGTGTGCAAATGGCTCACTGAAAAATCTAAAGAGAAAAACAAACACATTCACTGGTGTAAATAGAAACTTGCAGGTCTTATTGTATGGTTATCAGATGGTAGAATATTAATCCAGAGAAGTAAATTTCCCTTTTAGCTAAATGCATGGGGGTCTGAAATTTTTTCTTAGAAGATAATTAATTAATAAAGAAAAACACCTGCTTAAATCTCCTACCTCCATGTCTTTTCACAGGTGGTTCCGATGTTTGGAATTCACTCCTACCTTCTAGAATTCCTATCTTCTCAGACACTTCTAACTGTGTGACCCTTGGCAAGTCACTTAGCCTGCATTTACCTCAGTTTTCTCTACTGTAAATTGAGCATAATAATAGTACTTCCCTCCCAGGGTTATTGTGAGCTCAAATGAGATATTTGTAAAGTGCCCACATCATAGACATTATATAAATGTCCTTCCCTTCCTTTCCTCTCTTCTTTTGAAGCACAACTCAGGTGCCACCTCCTATGAGCAACCTTTCCTGATTCTCTTCTCTCCCTGTACCCTCCACATTAGCACTGAAGAGAGACTTTGTATTGACTTATTTGTGTACATGGTATATACCCTTAGAGGGCAGGACATTATTTTTTTTGTCTGTCTTCATCTCCTACCAAAGGACTTTGCCCATGTTAAGTGTTTATTGAATTGAATTAGTCACTATCCTAGAACTATACTGATTATGTAGGCTGGGTATTGTACTTCTCAGGCAGAAAGTATTGGAAGCATACTTGTCAGCTTCCCATGTGTGGGTAGAGACAGATTGAACCTTGCAGTACGTTGTAAAGATCAATAGATTCATTTTCTTCTGGACTATAAAATGAAAAACATTTCAAACAAAAGACCATTCCTAGTACCACGAAGTCCAAATCTAGCTGTGTTATAGTAGAAAGTGTATTAGATTTAGAGGAGACAAAGCTTTAGATCCTAACTCGGCCATTTAGGAAGTAAGCAAGCCGCTGTTCCTCTGAGCTCAAGGAACAGGCAACTTCACAGTGATCGCTTCTAACCAAGGGAGTTTGCCTTTGGGCAATGAGGGCCCAGAGTTAGAATGTGAAATCAGAAGAGAAGTTGGACCTTGAGTTTTAGTCTTGGCAGAGCCATGGGTGATGACAATACAGCTGGGAAGGGGAAGTGAATCAGCATTTACATAGTGCCTGCTATGTGCCGGGCACAGTGCTGAACGATTTACAAATCAGATCTCCTTGCATGAACTCTACCTTTCTTCCTATTGGTTTTATCTTTCTCTCTGTGGTATTTGCAGGAAAACATATGCAAGACTATTTATGAAGACTACCTTTTAAAGAGGAAATTTTTACACAAGTAGGTAGAGATTTGACTAGATGCTTTGTAAGGTCCTTTCCACTCAAGATTTTGTGATTTCATACTGTACTTACCTCATCTACAGAATCCTATTTTGGGGATGGAGTGGTAGCTCCCATTTTCTACAGGAGCAAAGAAGATTAAAATTCTCCATCTCTCAGCTCTGGGCAGTTTTGCTCCCATGCCTAGAATGCTCTCTCTCCCTTGCACTCTAACTACTGACCTTTAAGTTCTAACTAAAATCCCATCTTTCACAAGAAGCCTTCCCCTACCCCCTCTTAATTCTAGTACCTTCCCTTTCTTAATTATTTCCTATTTATCTTGTATATTGTTTAGTTGTGTCCTACTCTTTATGACCCCATTTGGTGTTTTCTTGGCAGAGATAACTAGAGTGGTTTGCCATTTCCTTCTCCAACTCATTTTACAGATGGTGAAACTGAGGCAAACAAGGTTAAGTGACTTGCCCAGTAAGTGTCTGAGGCTGTATTTGAACTCAGGTCTTCCTGACTCCAGGTCACTACGCCACCTAACTGCCCTGTATGTAGCTGTATGTGTATATGTATATATGTATACATACACACACACACACACACACACACACACACACACACACACACACACGCTGTCTCCTTTGTTATATTGTAAGCTTCTTGAGGACAAGGATTATTTTTTGCCTCTTCCCCCCAGCACTTAGTATGGTACCTAATATGTAGTAGGCACTTAATAAATGTTGATTCATTGATTGAGACCATATTTGTTTAAAAAAAAAAGTGGCAGTATATTTATAGGTGAAATGGTCAGTTCACTCGCCTGAACTCCTTAACTTTCTCCCTGTTCCTTTCCTAATCAATATATATATTTTTGAAGAACAACATAGAACATTTTTGTTCAGATGTGTTCTGGGAGCAAAATGTGAAGCAGTCATAGAGTACAGTGGTGTTCTTTCATACTGCCCCCTATCTCCTCTCCCCAGGCTAAATATGGGTCTAGTTTGTTAGGTGGCACAGTAGGTAGAGAGACCACTGGACTTGGGTTTAAGTGTTTAAATCCTGCCTCACGTACTGGCTGTGTGACCCTGGGCAAGTACCTCAACCTCTGCCTGACTCAGTTTCCTTGACTGTAAAATGGGGACAATGATAACATCCACCTTCCAGGGCTCCTGTGAGGAGGGTTAAATGAGCTAACAGATGGAAGGAGCTTTGGAAACCTTGGCACTCTTATAGATCATTTAGTCCAACTTTATGTTTTATAGATGGGGAAACAAAGGAAGCTAAGGTAAATTTTTTTTTGTTTTTGTTTTTTAGACCAAGGTGCTGGATATTATATAAAAATAACTAATTCATCCTATATCTAAGAAAAAATTTACAGGCTCAGATCATTTTATTTTAATTTTTAATACATTTGATTTTTTAAAAAATATATTTAAAAACTATTCAGTGAGCCTGTAGGCAAAATGACAGAATGTTTACATTTTGCCTTTGGAACATGATAGTAATAAAATGTCAGAACTAGAATGAAACCAAAGGGACCATATAGGATAGTCTTCTGGTTGTCTAGGTGATGAGAAGGTGATGAGAAGACCAGTGACATGCTTAAGACCTCCCAGCTAAGACCACACAGCTAGTAAGTGGCAGGACCAGAATACAAACCCAAATATTTTAACTCTTGGGTCTGGTGTTCTTTCCATTATACCACACTGCTGTCCGGCTTCATTTGCCTTATCAGTGAGTTCATGAACACTTTATTGCTATAACAGGTAACTTTAGGGGAAAGCACTCTTAGAAGTTGCATAGTGTATGGGGAGTACAGTGTTTGATTATATAGTATTTCCTAAGCAGGTCTTCTGCCTTAACTGGCAGTCTCCTACCAAGTGTAATTTCTGAAACTCAAGTTTTCTAGAAAGCTGTTTGCTGAGTGAGTGGGGTTCAGCACCAGTAAAGGGCAGAAATGTGCCAGCCAGTTACCTTTACCTCTTGGCTTAGAGTGATTTGGTCTGTGCTCATTAAGGAAAAAATGCACTATGTTGGAACATGGACATTTGAAATTAGGCATATGTGAAAAAGCTAAACTTGTCAGAATTCATTAGGCTTCTTTGTAAATGAAAATTTTGAAATTTATTATTAACTCTTTTCCTGTCACAGAAATGTGTATCCTGTGCAAAAGATGACTGAAATATTTGTTCCCCTAATTATAGCTTGTAGAGACTTCACTGAAAGGAGAAATTGCTTTTGATCCCAGAAGCGCCTATTACCTGTGGTTCGTGATGGATTTCTGTGATGGAGGCGACATGAATGAGTACCTGTTATCCCGGAAACCCAATCGGAAAACCAACACAAGCTTCATGCTTCAGCTCAGCAGCGCTCTGGCTTTCTTACACAAGAATCAGATTATCCACCGTGACCTCAAGCCTGATAATATCCTGATTTCTCAAAGCCGATTGGATACAAGTGACTTGGAACCCACACTCAAAGTGGCTGATTTTGGTTTGAGTAAAGTTTGTTCTGCCTCTGGGCAGAACCCAGAAGAACCCGTCAGTGTAAATAAATGCTTCCTTTCCACTGCATGCGGAACAGATTTCTACATGGCTCCTGAGGTTTGGGAGGGACATTACACAGCCAAAGCAGATATCTTCGCTCTGGGGATTATCATCTGGGCCATGCTGGAAAGGATCACCTTCATAGACACAGAGACCAAAAAGGAGCTCTTGGGGAGTTATGTGAAACAAGGAACTGAGATTGTGCCTGTGGGAGAGGCCCTTTTGGAAAATCCCAAGATGGAACTGCTCATCCCTGTGAAGAAGAAGTCCATGAATGGTAGAATGAAACAGCTAATTAAAGAAATGTTGGCTGCAAACCCTCAGGATCGTCCCGACGCATTTGAGCTAGAACTTAGATTAGTCCAAATTGCTTTTAAAGATAGTGGCTGGGATACGTGACACACGGATTGCTAGGAAACCCCTTGGATGACATGCTGCTTCTGTCTGAACAGGGATGCAACATTTTGTGGCAGAAAAAAAAGGAATACATAAGGCTAAACCCATACCTAGAGGGTTTAGATTTTACTGTGGTTTGTTTTTTTTTTAAGGTTTCTTAAGTCTGAGTCAGCCATTTTGTTAGTATGTTTTAAATGTGTATTACCAATGTGTGTGTAAATTTTTAAAATGACCATTGGTAGAAATTTGACAGGAAAATTCTGTAAGAGCCAAGAAAAGATGAGAGTCCAGCTTTTCTGGGATTATGTCGCAAGTATTTTAGACATTCCTTGTCAGTATTAGGAACTTCCATAGAAACAGTGGTTTACATGCTGGTCATGCAAACTGTGAGGCTTTGTAAAGTAAACATATATGTATATATTTATGTATATGTAAGTATGTGAATGTGTGCATTTTGCATTCCATATGAAGAAAATGCCACTTCTGTTTAAATTATTTGATGTGGGTTTGGGTGTTTGGGATTTGCTGGTGAATTCAGTGGTGGAAAAATAAATAAGACACTTCCCCCCAACTTTCTCCCAATGATGAAATTGTGCTAAGTTTTTATATTTGTATTATGAGACTCTTTTTAAGCACCATTTTGGAGGGTCTAAGACTGTCCTAACTTGGACATAAAAGAACATCCAAGCTATAAACAACATGCAAAGCTGTTGAGATAGATTTAAGCTGAATTCTCACAATCCAGTACCCTGTAGCTGAAGGAGTTAATTACAGCATGGTGCTGTCATGTGGTAGCAGGCTGGCAAGGTCATTAATCATTCAATCCTACACTCTTTTAGGTAACTAGGCACTCAATTAACCAATTAGGCCACAGCATCAGGACGTGTCTGTACCTGTTGCATCTACAGTCTGGTATAAACTTGAATACAGGATTGTTGTAGTTCTGGAAACTTGGCATTAATGAAGTTTCGGTATTGGGGTCTGTGACTTCTGGGGTCTGGAGAAGTTGTCTAAGTTTTAAAATGTTGAGGTGGAAGCCCGAACAAGCCCTATTGTCTGGTTTGCCTGCCCTGATATGGTCTCTTGTTGAATCACTGGAGTCCCTTCCATTTTGGCACTGATGCTGTTTTCTGTTGTTTAATTTGAGACTGTGATAGCATCGATATGGTTGTCTTAATGTTGATCACCTTTTTCTAACATGGGAGATAATGTGCATACAATTTAGCAAGCAGATGAAATGTTGTGGCATCAGCTGCATCCTTCACATGAGGAAACTGACCTCTTTGGTACAGTCATTTTGCTGTGCCTGAAGCAACAACTATTAGGATTCTTTGAGGAGTTGGTTTGATTTTTATAACCCTGGATTGTTGTTTCCGATTTGTTTTCCTGCAAGGTCAGTCAGTTAGTTAACATCTAATGAAGGAGAGCTTCCTGAAACCGAACTTTAGGTTAGCCTTCTGGGACATTATAACTGAGTTGACCTTTATAGAGCATTTGGATCCTTGGGTAAAAAGTCAGTCATGTTAGAGTAATGAAAATCATTGATGTTTTTGTCTCTTCTTGGTTGTTTTAGCTTCTGAAAGTTTAAATGTTGCCATTCTTTTTTTTTCTATTTATAGTCCAAAGTATAAGAGTAGTGGGCTCTAAGCTAGAGATTAAAAAGAAAAATTTGAGTGACTTGGCTTTGAAAGATTGAAGCTGAATAGTTTCATTGAAATAAAACCACTTTACTAGGTTCTTTGAAGCTGATAAATGCAGGGTTTTAAACATACTTTTAGAAAATAAAATAAAGCATTGGAAGTTGAAGATGGAAATACACTGGATCCATCACAATAGTGATTCTTTCACAATACTAATCACAATGTTTGGAATAGCACAGAGACAACTCTACCCTTCCAATGTGGCTTAAGTCATTAGGAGGGGAAGAGTGGAGTAATATTGTCTCACCAAAGAACAACCAGGTACCTTAGCATGGAGCCCAAGGTGATCAGTCAGGGATCCATTTTTATTTGCTCATTTGTTCTTTGTGCTAGTATCCAATTTTTTCTGAAGATGTGGTTTTTTGGTTGTGCCTGACTAAAAGTCATTAATGATGATCACTTTTGGAAGACTTTTTTGTAAAATGGAGCTTCTTTTCAGGATATCATTTTTGGGATTTTTTCAAGATCTTGTCTAAGTTTCAAAACATTTCTTTCCATTATGTAGGCAAAATGATGATTAAAGTCTAGGTCATTCTTCACTTAAAAAGCACTGTGCCCAGCATTATGATTAAGCTGATTATCTTAGTGCTGACATGACATTTAGTCACAGGCCTTTTTGCCCAAGAATAAGGAAAAAAAACCAAAAATCCCAAACTGAGTACTTCAGAATTCCTGCAAGTATACCCAAGAAAACAACAAAAAAGACCAGGTAGGAATTTTAGCTGTTTAATTGGACTCTAAGGTAAATGCATTTTATGAGGAGTCACTGCGATTTTTAAAGACCAAATGTTTCAAATAAGTTTCTTAACTGCAGTGGCAGAGATGTTAACTTAAATCAATTAAAGTATGGAGTCTTACAAGTTAGCTTTGCACTTGTTATCATGTAGTGAGACTGGGCCACTGTAGATTCTTGGTGCTAAGGGACACTTTGTCATTATGATGAAGTGGGTGTTAACAGTCAGAGAGTAGCACACTGAATAGTTCTGGTGGCCTGTTCTTTGTGTTTATTGTAAGATGTTATATCAATAAAACTATTGTAGCAGCTACAAAATAATTCACCAGCATGACACATGGTCAAAAAAAAAGTCATCAGCACTTCAAAAATGAAACAAACTTTTGCAATTTTCTTTTAATATTGTCAAATATATTTTATGAAGAATTTATAAAAGGGGTGGGAAATGATTGTAATTTATTGTTCATGACAGTTTTTTAAATAAAGTCTGAATTTCAACAAAAACTTGTGAAAATGCTGGCTTGCCTTTCCCTGTCCAAAGGTGCTTTGGTTACCTCTGAGGACTGTTGTTACAGGGAGTATTTCTATTGAATCTGCAGTGTACCAAACATTTTACAGACACCTCATTAGATCCTCCCTGCTGCTCTGGGATGATAGTGATGAAAGTAGTCTTATCCCTATTCTGTAGGTGAGAAAATTAAATGAGTGCCAGATAGGTGAATCCAAGGGAACTTAGCTATTAAGCGATGGAGCTGGAAGCTGACGGAGGTATTCTGAGAAACAAATTATCCCAAGAATACATTGAAAAGCTTCAGTACTCACTCACATAGTGCCCTGAGAACAATAGGTTAAAGTGTTTAGTCTTGCTATGCTGCCTATATGTTGTCAAAGGAAATTATGTTGTCTGAGATGAAAGGATTTCCCCTTTTCTTCCTTGGCTTTTAGGCTGAAAGCTTTCCAGACACAGCATTGAAAATAGACTTTCTCCTCTAAACTGAGACGATGGCTTCCTATGTGTGAGATTCAATAAACCATCTGGCCAATTTTTCTTTTTTCATCGATGGGATAAAGTAGCACATCCTTTCCACAAGGAAATATATAGTACATAGAGATAATTGGTGAGCTGATGGAAATACCTAGGGAAGAACTACATATCTGATGTAGTGATTAGAGCAGGAAAGCCAACGTGAGGCACGGTGGCATCTCTTTCTAACCACCACTTTCTGGTGTGACCTTTGTGGGCCTTTGCTTTCTCATGCAGAAGTGAGCAACGAGACAATAAAAGTGATTGTTGTTCAGTCACGTCTGACTTTTCAGCACCCTTTTTTGGCAGTATTTTCTTGACGAAGGTATTGGAGTGGTTTTCCAGCTCATTTTATGAATGAGGAACTGAGGCAAACAGGGTTAAATGATTTGCCCAGGATCATATAGCTAGTAAGTGAAGCTAGATCTGAACTTGGGTCTTCATGACTCCAGGCCCCAAACTCTGTCCGCTGCATTATCTAGCTGCCCGAAGCAAGGGGAAGATAGGAGGATGGTAGCCAAAACCCAAAAGGTATGTAAAATAGAGATTAGATTTGTTCTTCTGGGCACATGATGGTAGAACAGGGACAGGATGTGTCAAAGCTGCAAAGAGACAAATTGAGGTTTGACCTAAGGAAACTTAACAATAAAACTGACCCAAAGTCGAGTGAAGTGGGCTGACTGCACCTTCCCTATATATCTGCAAGCAAAGGCTGGAGGACCCCTTGTCCAGTGTGGTGGCCCCATTGGGGGTCCTTCTAACTGACATTATTTGAATCTGTGAAAGTCGAAAGGAGTCGAAAAGAGTCTGAGGACTTTTAGTGAGGCAACACATTGTGGAAAGAGGCCTATGTTTGAATCCGTCCGAATTCTGCCACTTAATAGCTATTTGGTCTCAAACAAGTCACAGTATTTCTTAACCTCAATTTCCACACTTGCAAGATGGGGGAGAAGGGGAGGTATGATAACATGTAGCAGCTACCTTCCAGGGCTCTTGTCAGTCAATAAACATTTATGAAGCACCTACTATGTGCTAAGCCCAGTGCCAAATGCAGGAGATTCAAAGAAAAATAAAAAACAGTCCCTGCCCTTGAGAAGCTAATAGTCATGTACAAACAAGCTATGTATAGGATAAATAGGAAATAACAAACAGAGGGAAGGCACTAGAATTAAGGGGCATCAGGAGAGGTTTGCTGTAGAAGGTAGAAGTTTAGCCAAGACTTGAAGGAAGCCAGGGAAGTGGAGGTGAGGTGGGGTTTTCCGGGCATAAGGGATAGCCAGTGAAAATGCCCAGAGCTGAGAGATGGAGTGTCTGGTTCATGGATCAACTAGGGGGCCAGTGGCACTGGGTCAAAAAGTATGTGACGGAGTGTAGGTGGGGGTGTGTAAGAAGACTGAAAAGGTTGGGAGGCAGGGGAGAACGATTTTGAATGCCTAACAGAGGCATCAATTTACGTTGATCCTAGAGGTGACAGGGAGCCATTGGAGTTTATTGAATTGAGGGGAGCAATGGCAGGGGGTGAGGTGACAGCCAGACCTGGGCTTCAGGAAGAACACTTTGACAATTGAGTTGGGAGAGACCTGAGGCGGGCAGACCCACCAGCAAGCTATTGCAATAGACCAGGCTTGAAGAGATAAAGCAGGGTGGGGGCAGTAGCAGAGGACCCGCTGGCTTACCAACTGTGTGGTCTTAGGCCTCTCTGAACCTTGTTTCCACAGCTGTAAGATGGAGGGTTGGGGGAGTGTAGCAGCTATTTTCTAGGGTTATTGTGAAGAAAGTGCTTTCAAAATCTCTAAGTACTATACACATGTGTTTATATATCCAGCATTCTCATTTTAAAGATGAAGAAACGGACACCGGGATTTGTTACGTGACTCTTCCAACGTCATACAGTGTTAGTGTCAGAGCTGGCACCAGACGTCCTTTTGTACTCTGCTGGCCTGCGAGCTGAGAAGACAGGACTCATTGAAAAAGACCCTGATGTTGGGAAAGATTGAAAGCAAAAGGAAAAAAGGGATGGCAGAAGATGAGACGGGTGGATAATGTCATGGAAGCAAGGAACGTGAGCTCGGACAGTTTTGAGAGACTGTTGTTCGTCCTTCATTCTCCAAGAGGACCATGACATCAGGAAAGTGATGCCATGACTTGCAAGTGAATTGAACTTAAGTGAGAGAGGGCTGTGCAGTCACCAGCCTCTGTCCTCTGGGGCCATCTGGGTCCAGTGGCCAGATACAGATCAGGACGACTGGAGGTGGCCTGTTTAGAGAGATAGTGGAGAATAGAAGGGCTTGGTATCCATGGGGTCATGAAGAGTCACACGTAACTGAGCAACAAGCCTGCCAATACCTGTAAGAGTTTATATCCAAATTAACATGAACCTGATGAATATAAAATATGAAGGTGAACACAAACTATACGATGAACATTTATGTCCCTTTTCAAGGAGTTCCACATGAGAGGTGTTGGGTTCTTAACGAGATTTCTTAATTGTAAAATGTTTCCAGAAGCATCATGGTGAAGGTGGAGGGACGTCTGGATTTTAGTTCCCTTACAGCTCTGACATTCCAGGTTATTCTATATTCTAAGGTCACTTCCACCCCAACTATCTATGGTTCTGTGGTGGAACTCTTTGGCCCTGGCTCCCGAATTAGTGTTCACCTTCAGGGAAGTGCTGGGGAGTTTGCTTAATCTGTGCCTCAGCTTGGCACCGTATTTAACAAGAGGACTTGCTTAAGCCTTTATCTTTCACCTCGTGGTAAGGAACTCGAGTTGTTTGGGGCTGGTCTTTAAATTCGAATATAGCTTTTTTGAATCAGCCAATCAGAGGCGTTCTCTAAAACACAGTGTAATGATAGACAGTTGCTTGTGGTTACAAAGCTGACTCCTGTTTGGGAGAACCTGCGGTGGTGGCGGCCACGCCCTTGGCGGGAGGGGCAGCTGGGGGAGGAAGGCTGAAGTGCATCTTTTAAAGTCACCCCTTTTCCTTAGCAATGTTTTTCCATTGGCTCCAGGAGGCTTCTGCGCAGGTATCCGAGTGGTTGACCTCTGCACTGCTCCCTTTTCCTGTTTTGCATGTTTAGTTAACTTCCCACTTGGCAGAAACTATGCAAAGCAGTTTTGTTGACAAAAGCATAGAACTTTAAAAGCTCCATTTGTAACGTGTTCCAGTTTTGCTATTACAACGTTTTCTCAGAATAAATATTGAGCCTGCAAGGGTTGGAGGGTGCTAAGAGGTCATCTGGTTAACCTCCCCTGACAGAAAAGGAAACAGGCCCAGGACTGTGAGGCAACTCACCCAAAGTCACATAGCTAATTAGTGGCCTGGTGGTGGCCAGAACCAAGCCATCCTCCAAATTCTGGAAGCTGACGAGCAAGGTGCAAATAGAGGGGTCCAGGAAGCCTCTTCATTATATAGGATATCTATATATACCAATATTTCCAATGGCACGGCACTGAACAGAGGGGCTAGGGATGAGTTGTATCAGTAGGACAAGTTGGGGTCAGAATGCCCCAAGGACTCCTCCTCTGGTAGGCAGCTCTCACTGTCTAGGGTCAGATGTCAACTGATCAGATCTCTTGGGTTTTCGGCTACTTTCCAGCCAGATCAGAAACTCATTTGGGCCCTAATCCAGCTGTTAGAGCAGACAGGATTTTTAGACAAAGCAAGGCCTGCCTGGTGGTTGTTTTGCCTCCTTGCAAAAGCCCCAGTCTCCAACCCTGGGGCTGCCGCATCGACACAGCATCTTCTGTAGTGACATTTAATTCTTTCTTCTCTACCCGGGACAAAGGAGCAGATTGACCTCTGTGGGCTATCCTGAACATTACATTCCTTTGGCAGAGGGGGAGCAGTTAAATGCTTACTTAGATGGAGCTCCAGCTCACCTGGCTCACCTCTCAGAATGTGCCAGACTCCTCCCCCACCTTCACCCCTGCCGGAGAAAAGACTTAATAGAATCTTAGAACATTGGATATTCGAGCTGGGAGGGCCCCTAGAACAGAGAATGTCAGAGCTGGGAGAGACCTTAGAACAGAGAATGTCAGAGCTGGGAGAGACCTTAGAACACAGAATGTCAGAGCTGGGAGGGCCCTTAGAACACAGAATATCAGAGCTGGGAGGACTCTTGGAGATCTTCCAGAGCAGAAACTGTTTTGGTTTCTTTTTTTTTTTTACCTTTCTTTGCCTTTCTTTGTATCCCCAGCACTTAGCACAGTGCCTGGCCTGTAGGAGGTGCTTAACAAATGCTTGTGGACGGATCCTTTAATCCAGCTCCTTAATATTATAGATGAGAAAGCCGAGATCTCCCAGAAACAAAGTGACTTCTTGGTGGTCAGACAGTCCAACCAATATCGCCTCCAACATATCCAGCTTCCGCTCGGAAACTCCGAGTTCCCTGAGGTGGCAGCCTGTTCCACTTCTGGGCAGCTCTAATCCTTAGGAAGTCTTCAGGAAACCTGCCTCTTCCGTTTCCATCCTCTCCTTCTAGGTCTACTCCCCCCCACCCCACCCCCAGGGCCAAACATAACAAACCTAATCCCTCTTTCTCCTGACAACCCTTCAAGTACCTGAAATCAAATCAACAAGCATGTATAAGGCACCCACTATATGCCAGGCACCCTACTAAGTGCTAGGCAGCTATTACCTTCCATCTAGATCTTTTTTTCTTAAAGTTTGATATCCCCAGGGGCAGCTAGGTGGCGCTGTGGATAGAGCTCCGGCCTTGGAGTCAGGAGGACTTGAGTTCATATTTGACATCAGACACTTGACAATAGCTGTGTGACCCTGGGCAAGTCACCTAAACCCCGATTGCCTCACCAAAAAGCAAAAAAAAAAAAAAAAAGTTTGATATCCCCGAGTGAGTCATGTAGTAGTCCTTGAATTCTGGAGTCAGAGGACCTGGGTTCAAGTCTTGCCTCTGATGGTGACTATCTGGGTGACTTTGGACAAATCATTTGACCCTCCTGGGCCTCAGGGGCTTGGACGGCATGGCCTCTGGGGTCCCTTAGACCTCCAGTCTATGACCCTCCTATGACATGGATTTGAGTCTCCTCCTGGTAAACCTCTTCTGGGGGCCGTCCCTCCAGTTGGTTGGTATCTCTCTTACAAGGTACCTAGGGCCAAACATACTCTAGTCAGGTCAGCAAGCACTTTACTATGTGTCAGGTTGCTGGGGTTACAAAAATGTACAAGCAGAAAGAAAGCCGGTCCCTGCCCTTGGGGAGCTTAAGATGGAAAGTCCGGGAGGAATCAGCCAATCAGAGAGAAAAGCCCCAGGGAGGAAGATAATGTGTGTAGTCTAGATAGAGAAGGGGTGACATTCCAGGGCTGAGGATGTGGAGAAAGTCCTATGGAGATGAGTCAGCAGGGCACCCTGGAGATTCTCTCCATGTGGTTTAAGCAGCACAGAGGGCAGGGCAGCGAAAGCAGACGACAATGATCTCCCCTGCTGTGGATGATTCATCTCCACTGATGAATTAATGAATGGCCACCTGCTCACAAGGTTGATTCATATTGCGCTTCGAGTTCACTTACCCCTCAGGCCTGTTTTTCCGCCTGAACTGCTTATACAGTTACATTTCTCTTATATATAGTTACATTTCTCTTCCTCTTCTCCCAGTCATTCTATCAGGCTATATAAAGAGTAGGTGGAAGAAAAATTCCGGAGGTGAGGAACATGGAGCACAAAGGGCTCTGTACTCTCCCCGGTGCCTCCCACAGTGCATGGCAGTGATGGGCACATGAGAAATGCTTAGTGATTTTAGATTGATTTTAGACCACAGAATGTCAGAGCCAGCAGGGACAAAGAAGGTTAGGGTAGAAAGGGACTAGACCCGAACAGTGCTGAAAACCAGACAGAAGATTTTGTACCTGATGTGATTAGAAGCTGTTGGTTTTTCAGCTGAGGTGAGCCCTAGGAAAGCCACGTTATTTGAGGGGAAATCAGTCTGGTCAGCTGTGAAGAAGCTATGTCACTGAGGGAGGTCTGCCAGTGATGACAATGATACTTCCCCAAGATGAACCACTGCGCTTGATGCCTTTCAAACTTTTAGGTCTGTTTTTCTAATTATTCAACAAGCCCTTGCTAAGCACCTATTATATGCAAGGAGCCCAGGACATAAAGATTAAAAATGAAACAGTTCCTCTGCACAAGAGGAAGAATCCAATGTTGCTGAGTAGGAATACATCACAACATGGGTACAAAGTTAAGTCAGGTAGCAAACAGACGGAGGGCTTTGCGTTTGACACTCACACTTCTTTTCATGAGACTCATTGGTCATTCTTTTTTCTGATCAAATGGCAAAATCTGTACTTATGTGAAAGGGTACAGGAGAAACAGGGCGCTAGGTGGCGCCATAGTGCAGAGAGAGCTAGACCTGGAGGAGTCAGGAAGACTTAACCGTCCTGAATTCCAATCTGGCCTCAGCCACTTACTAGCTGTGTGACCCCGGGCAAGCCACTCAACCCTGTTTGCCTCAGTTTCCTCATCTGTAAAAGGAGCTGGAGAAAGAAATGCAAAGCACTCCAATATCTTTGCCAAGAAAAAGCCCCAAACAGGGTCACAAAGAATCAGACTCGACTGAAAAATGACCAAATGGTAACAGGAGAAACAGCACAAAGATCCAGGTCATGTAGGGCTTCTTTATTTTGTGTCGTTGCTGGTAGCGATGGGGCACCATTTTAACATCACTATTCTGCTGATGGTGATGGTGTCTCTGGCTGTGAGTCAGGAAACACAATCTTGAAAGAACTGAAAGTTAGTGTTATAGAGAGGACTTGTGGTGGGTGTGAACAGGGTGAGAAATTATGAAGGAGCAGAGCAAAACATGTCAGCAAAGAAATGAAAAAATGGTGAGAATGAGGGAAAGAGCATTAGAACATCCTGTAATATAGTTTAGTTCTCAGGATAACTCAGCAAGAGAGGAAGGGGAATTCTTTATTTTTGTCATTGTTCAGTTGTGTTTGACTCTTGGTGACCCCATTTGGGGTTTTCTTGGCAAAGATCTTGGAGTGGTTTGCCATTTCCTGCTCCAACTTATTTTACAGAAGAGCAAACTGAGGCAAACAGGGTTAAGTGACTTGCCCAGGGTCACACAGCTAGTAAGTGCCCGAGGCCAAATTTGAACTCAGATGAGTCTTCCTGAATCCAGACCCACCACTCTATCCACTGTGCCACCCAGCTGCTACCACTTGATGGATGTGGAAACTGAGGTCCCGTGAACTAGCTCTACGTACCAGCCAGAACTAGGACCCAGCTTACTGGTCCAAACCTGGTGCTTCTTTCTCTTAAACCCTGCTTGATTCCTGCAACCAATGTGGTCCAAACAGCGGGGAGGGAGCATTCATCACTCTGCTTACCTTGCCTTGTTTCCCAATTCAGAATGTGGACGGTAGGTGGCGCTTTCAAATCAGGCTTTGTTGGCTGCACAGCTTTGTAGAATCCCTTACTCAGAGAAGCTCAGAAACACCGGATTAAGAATTGGAACCTGAAAGGTCATCTTGTCCAATGTCCTCCATTTACAAAGGAGGAAACCAGGGCCCAAGTCCTTCCTTCCCTAAAGAAACTGAAGCCCAGAGGGGTTGAATGCTTTTCCTAATGATAATAATAATAATAATAGGTTACATTTTAAAGTGCTTGACTGTTTACAAAGTCCTTCCTTTGCAATGCTGCTCTGAAGTAGATGACATACTTATAACTAAACCCATTTTGCAGGTGAGTGAACTGAGGCTTAGAGAGGTAAAGTAACCTGCCCAGGTTAATATAGCTGGAGTCAGAATTAGTGTCAAACACTGGTGGACCTTTTTTTAAACTTTTTTTTAAAGGCTATATATCAACAAAGACAAATAATATTTTAAAATGCTAAATAAGGAATAAAATCTTACCTTTGCATTTAACAAAGCAGAACCAAGTGAGTTGAGAAACAACAAACAAAACCTTGCATCAGTTCAGCGTTCCCTTCGAGGTCAGTCTTAGGTTCCCCTTGTTGAATCATTTCAGTCTGGTCCACCTCTTTGTGACCCCATTGGGGGTTTTCTTGGCAGAGATGCTGGAGTGGTTTGCCATTTCCTTCTCCAGCTCATTTAACCGAGAGTTATGGTCTCGATCATCCTCACATGCTTATTTTTCAGAGCACCGTAATATTCCATTACATTAATGTGCCATGATGTTTTTTGCCATCTGCTAATATTTGATTTCATAGGTTGTGTGTTGCTTTTTGGCTATTCCAAGTAACTTTTTTTTTAATGGATGGTTAGGCAATGAAGTCAACAATCGTTTTTTAAGCACCTGCTGTGTTCCAGGGACTGTGCTTAGCACTAGGGTTACAAAAAGAGGCAAAAGACAGTCCTTGCCTTCCAGGAGCTCACAGTCCAATGGGGGAGACAATAAGCAAAGAATCATGTACAACACGCCATATGCAAGGTAAGTAGGAGATAATTAACAGAGGAAAGGCACTGGAATTAAGAGGGATTGGGAAAGGCTTCTTGCACAACACGGGATTGTAGTTGGGATTTGAAGGAAGTTGGGGAAAGGCAGTGGGTGAAGATGAGGCGGGAGAGTGTTGCAGGCACAAGTGACAGCCAGAGAAAATGCCCAGGGCCAAGAGACAGAATGTCTTGCTCATGGAACAGCCAGTGTCACTGGATCAAAGAGTTTATGTCGAAGAGTAAGGCGTAAGACGGCTGGGAATGTTGATGGACTTGACTACCAGAGGACTCTGGTTTTGATCCTGTTAGCAATAGGGAGCTGCTGAAGTTTATTGGGTAGTTGGACCTGCACTTTATGAAAATCACTTTAGTAGCTGAATTTGAGGCTAGATTGGACCGGGGAGAGACTTGAGGCGGGCAGACCCACCCACAGACTATTGCAATTATTCGTCGAAGGTCTGTACCAGAACGGTTGCAGGGTCAGAGGAGAGAAGGGGGTGTGTCCAAGAGATGCCCCAAAGGTAAAATTGACAGGCCTTAGCAACAGAATCACAGAACCTGAGAGTTGTCAGATCTCCAGTGAGGGAAAATCCACCTTACCTCCCAAGGCACTCCATTCCATTTGAGGGCAGCTCTAATTGTTAGGAAGTTTTTCTTTACTTTTTGAAGTCATAAATCTGTTATCTTTGCCCCTTCTAGTTCTAGCCTCTGGGATTAAGCAAAATGGCCTCTCTTCCATATGACAACCTTCAAATACTTGCAGACCGCTGTCATGTCTCTGCTAAAAACTTCTCTTCTCCAGCCTAACCATTTCCAGATCCTTCGACTGATCCTTATACATGGCCTATAATTCAGTTATCACACCATCCTGGTTGCCCCTACAAGTCACATTTCAGTTTGTCTTGGACCTTCCTAAAATGTGGTAAGTGAATATAATATAATACGATATAATATAATATAATATAACATAATATAACACAACATAAAATAACACAACATGACATAAAACAACACAATGCAACACAACATAACATAACATAATACAACATGATATAACATAACATAACATAACATGATATAATATAATATAATTGAATATAACTGAATATTGTATTCCAATCAAGACCTGTCTGGGACAGAATATTTTATAAATATCCTTTTAAAATGGTATTTTAAAAATTAAGTCTTTGCAATGGACTCACTCTGTCAAAAGGCATGATCAGTTTTAGGATTTGTATACTGTCAATATTCTTCTTCCAAAATTTTGTACTGTTTACAGCCCCACCAATGATGCCCATTTCCCCATAGTCCTGGAAATGATTACGTGACATGGGAGACTCTGGCAAAGGATCGCCCAGCATGGTGTAACTGCATCAAAGAAGGTCCTGTGCAGTATGAGCAAAGCAGAATTGAAATAGCTCAAAAGAAGTGCGAGATGCATGAATTTAGAGAACCCACCCCAAATATTCACATGGACTATTTGTTCCTGACCTGTTGGTAGGCTTCTGAGCTCGTATTGGTCCGATCAGCCACAGTTGGACACACTGTACATTGACCCTGATATAGTGATGTCATTTTGGTTCTCTTTGAGAACAGAGGACAACAACCACCAACATTAGTTTTTAATTATTATTTTTTTGACATTCTACTGGGTTTAAAGTGGTATCGTGAGGTTTTTTTTAATTAGAATTTCTCTGATTATTAAGAAATTTGAACCCTTCTCAGCCATACAAGGATCTAGGACATCTCCAAAGGTCTCATGATGGAAAATGCTATCCACATCCAAAGAAAGAACTATGGAGTTTGAATGCAGATCGAAGCATACTATTTGCTATTTTTTTCTTCTGTTGTGTTTTGTTTTCTCTTTCTGATGGTTCCTCCTATTGGTTCTAATTCTTCCTTACAACTTCACTAATGTGAAAATATGTTTAATAGGAATGTATAAGTAGGGCCTATATCAGATTGCATGTCATCTTAGGAAAGGAGGTGGGGGGGAATTTAAAACTCAATAGCTTATGGAAGTGATTGTTGTTAAATCAAAATAAATTAATTAAAAAAAAAGAAATTTGAGTGTCTATTCATGTTGTTATTAACAATTTCAAACCCAACTCTTGTTGCTTGGAGTGGAAGTAAGCTAGGAGCAGAAATACGATTAGGATCTAGGCCTTCTAACTCCCCACAGGAAATTCTGCTGCTTTGGCAGCTTAATTACATAGCAACATTTGAGACGTTTACCCAGCATGTCTGAGACATTAGTGTATGTACTCAGGGTGAGGGTTAAAGGGAAAATCATAGAGCTGTAAGAGACAAATCCCCCAGAATACCTCTAGTGATGAGGAACTCCCCTACCTAATAGGCAGTCCATCTATTTTTAACTAGTGCTGATTGTTAGGTAGGTTGTCCCTATGCCGAGCCAAAATTTGCCTCCCTGGAAGTTCCACCCATTGGTTCTAATTCTGGCCTCTGGGGTCAAACAGAGCAAGACTGATCCCTCATGTATCTCCCTCCAGTTGTCCTTGAGTATCTGGACCCAGCTGTCCTTCAGGCATCTCAAACTCAAGGTGTCCAATCTCTTCCCCCCAAGCCCTCTCCCCCTTCCAAATGTCATATTACTTACAGTCCCAGGCATCAGCATCTTCCTTGTGACTCAGGCTCGCCACCTAGGTGTAATCCTCAATACCTCACATTCACTCACCCCCATATCCAATCAGTAGCCAACCTTGCCTTTTCTATCTTCACAATATCTCCGGTCACACAACTCTAGGTATAGCTACCTTATTATCTCACAACTGGACCACTGCAATAGACTTTTTTCTTTTCTTTCCTCTTTTTTGGAGGCAGAGTTAAGTGACTTGCCCTGGGCCACACAGCTAGTAAGTGTAGATATGAACTCAGGTCTTCCTTACTCCACGACAATTGCTCTAGCCACTGTGCCACCTAGCTGCCCTGTAATAGACTTCTAAATAGTCTTCCTGCCTCAAGTCTTTCCCCATTCCAATCCATCCTTCACTCAGTTGCCAAGGTTATTTTCCTAAAACACAGGTCTGACCATGTCATACCATGGCCATCTTCTCCTCCCACAATGAGCTACATTGACTTCCTGTTTTCTCCAGCATTAAATATAAAGTTCTCTGGCATTTAAAGGCCTTCCCAACCTGGCCCATTCCTACCTTTCCAGCCTTCTCACTGGGTCCTCCCCTCTCCACACTCTGTGATCTAGTACACTGGCTTGCTGGCAGATCCTCACGGCTGTCACTCCTCCTGTCCTATACCTTTGCCTTCGTTGTCCTCCATGTCTGCAATACCCGGCTCGTCCTCTTTGTTAGTCTGGCTTCCTTCAAGATTCAGCTCAAATCTCATCTACCTCTATACTTTCCCCTTTCAGGCTACCTTCATCTAGCGCATATCTTCTATATACCTGGTTATTTACATGTTGTCTCGAATTCTGGTGTAAGCTCCTTGAGCCCAGGGACTGGTTTTTTTTTTGTCTGTTTGTTTTGTTTTTTTCTTATTATCCCCGGGGTTTAGCATGGTGCCTGGTATATTGTAAAGACTTAATAAATGCACCTATGTGGTGCAGTGGATAGAGTACTGGGCTTAGAGACAGGAAGATGAGTTTAAATTCTGCCTCAGACTCAGACTCATTTGTGACCCCGGGCAAGTAGCTTAGTCTCTGACTCAGTTTTTTCATCTGTAAAATGGGGATGATAACAACACCTACCTCCCAGGGTTGCTGTGAGAATCAAATGAGATAACATTTGTGAAGCATTTAGCATAGAGCCTGGCACACAGTTTGGTGCCTAATAAATCATGGCATCCCTTCATCTTGTTAATAATAGTAGCCAACATTTATATGGCACTTTAAGATTTGCAAAGCACCTTGCAATTATTATCTGATTTGATCCTCACAACAACACTGGGAAGTAGGTGCTATTATTATTACCCCATTTTATGGGTGAAGAAACTGAGAATGGGAGGTTAAATGACTTGCCCAGGGACAGAAGAAATAGAGGGAGGGAGAGAAGGAGGGAGGGAGGAAAGAAGGAAGGAAGGAGGAAAGGAAAGAAAAGAAGGGAGGGAAGGAGAGAGGATAGAAGAAAGGAAAGGAAAGAGGAAAAAGGAAGGGAGGGAGGAAGGAAGGAAGGGAGGAGGGAAAGGAAAGAAGAAAGGAGGGAAGGACAGAGAATGGAAGAAAGGAAAGAAAAGGAAAGGAAAAGGAAAGGAGAAAAAGGAAGGAAAGGAGGGAGGGAAGAAGGGAGAGGGAATTTACTAGTGAGACACTGTGCAAAGTGCTAGGGATACAAATAGACAAACAGAAAGATGGTCCCTGCCTTCAGTGGAGGAAGAAAAGTGGAGGGGAGGGATGATGGTCCTGGTCCAGGGCCCTGGTTCTGAATCCTTTAAAGGCCAGAGCAGAGCCAGGAGAGGAATGAAGTCTGGCTCAGGCCCCTTCACAAATGGGGACCCCAGGACAACCCTCCTCACCAGTGGGAGAAGAAGGGCTAGTTTGGCCCCTGGGAAATTCCAGGGTGGGGAGTCCCAGGTTCTGAGGAAGTTCCAGGATGAACTAGCAGCAGCCTGGTTGTAAAGTCTGGAGTCAGGAGCAGATGTGGGAGGCTGAATTCAAACTCAGGTCTTCCTGACCTCACCTAGCTGGGGAGCTGTGGACTGATTAACTAAGCATCTCCTCCATGCTCTTTCAATCACCACACATCAGTAAGCTCCTGCTTTCTGCTGAATACTGTGCTAGGCCAAAGAGAGGAATACAAGAAGGTGGTAGAGAGCATTAGTGGGACATAGTCACTGCCCTCATGGACTTTTTAACAGCTTATTATCATAGCTTATTAGGGCTAAGAAAAAAAAAGTAGTAATAGTACAGGGTTGTGTAGGATTATAGGTTTAGGGCTGGAAGAGGTCTTAAAGGTCATTTAGTCCAACCCTCTTATTTTATAGATGAGGAAACTGAATCCTGTATATATGGGAGGCACAAAACAACGTCCAACATGAGGTCCAAGGGAGAAGGCTAATTATATTAATAGTAATAATTATAATAATATTTATATAACACTTACCATGTGCTAGGAGCTGTGCTAAGCGCTTTATAAATGTTATCTCATTTCATCCTAGCAACAACTTGGAGGTGTACTATTATTATCCCCATTTTACAGAAGAGGAAACTGAGGTGGGCAGAGGGAAAGTGACTTGCCCAGGGTCACACAGCTGGTATCTGAGGAGAGATTTGAACTCGGGTCTTCCTGACTCCAGACCCAGTGTTCTGTGCCCTGTGGGGCTACCTATGACCATAAGATAGCCCTCTGGGCATTTTTATCAACCATAAATGTGCTCAGCATACCATTAGGGCCTTTCTCCAAGCCATTCACAATAACAGATGACAAGGAGCACTTTAGGATTGCTAAAGCATTTGTCTCATTTGAGCCTCATGTCAGTCATGCAAGGCAAGCCAGCCATCCAGGGCTCCAAGGTGTTCATCCAAAATCATAGGAGCTGCCTATAAAACAAAAATGATAATGCAGCTGGTGGCACAGGGGATAGAGCTCTGGACCTGGAGTCAGGAAGACCTGAGTTCAAATATGACCTCTAACACTTACAAGACGTGTGACCCTAGGTGACTCACTTAACCTGTTTGCCTCTGTTTCCTCATCCGTAAAATGAGGATAATAACATCTATAAAATAAGGATAAATAACAATCCCTCATAGGGTTGTTGTGAGGATCAAACTATTATACTGTATTATATTGTATTATATCATATTATATTATAATATATATATTTACCAATATTATATTGGTAAAATGTTTTGTAAAACATATGGCATATCTTGAATAGAGAACTTAGCTATGTGGGTTCTTTTTACCATCGTTCAAACTTAATATTGCTTTATCTATATTCCTAACTGAAACTAATCTAGCGTGTTAATTGACAAGAACAATTAAGAACAGGATGCTTAACTGACATAGTCCATTTAAGCAGTTTTATCTTTTTTGACTTCCTATTAATAAATTATTGAGAAGTGTTGCTTTAAAAATTGCTTTGTAAACCTTAAAGTGATAGATAAATACAAATTCTTCCTCCTCCTCTTTTTCTTTCCCTTCTTCCTCCTCTTCTTCTTCTTTCTCCTCCTCTTCTCCTTCCTCCTCTTCTTCCTCCTCTTCCTCCTTTTCTCCTTCTTTATTCTTATTATTATCATCCATAGGATGTCATGAAGTAAGTACTGCAGGCATTAAATTGAGGCTCGAAGAAGTTTAGTCATTTACCCTTGGTTGCACAACCAATAACTTCAAGGAGGGGAATTTGAATTCAGATCCCTCTTGATTGCAATCAAGGAATTTGAAGTGAGAACTAGGAGAATAATCTGATGATCACATTGTAAAAATGTGCAATTTTGAGCGCCAGTCTCCTCAGTGATCATCCAAGGTGCCGAAAGACTAATGAATCAGCACGCTCATCACCTTCTGACAGAAAGGGCATGGAGAATGAGCTTACGTTTTTTTTTG